ACAACCTGATACAGAAGCACGGCCTTAGGCATAAAATAAAGTGGCAATAAAGTCTGGTGAAAGGGACAGTTGTTCTCCAGGGTGGAGATCTCCTGAGCCTACCAGAGTTTCCCGGCTCTGTCTTTTTTGGAAAAGTGAGAGCTTTCCTGAGCTCTTCCTGGCCTGGGCTGAATCGGAGAGGGCCTTGCTCGTGTCCCGGACATTGGTTAGAGCAGGTAGGATGGCCGGGATTTCTGTGGCAGTTCAGTTGGATTATTCTTCCTCCAGGCTGCTTGGTACCTTGCACAGGGATGTTTGTTCTGCTGCAGAGGGGTGCTGTGCAGCGTGTCCCACCTGCCACAACAGCTCCCTGCCCCAGCTGTTCTCCAGCAAGAGCAAACAGAGCATTGCCAGAGAGTTCCTTGCAGGGCTGGGAGGTGTTTCTGTAGCATGGACCTTGCAGAAAGGGCAGTGTGAGCAGAGCTCCTTGTGGTGGGTGTGTGCTGCAGGAATTAGTCCCTCCCAGCGCTCCCTGATAGATCTTGGACAGCCCCGAGTTAGTACTCACCCTAGGAAGAGCTTCACCAACGTGTCTGCAGAGCTTCTTCTCTTCAAGGTGTTTATATTTTCTACTAGGAGGTAAGAACCTTGCCACTGAATTTAAGTGACGCAGCGACCTGGTAGCTCCTATGGGTTTTGTAGCCCACCTTTTACTATCAGCCAGGTTACCTTGTGCATTTTCAAAAGAACAGTCAAATGAAGTTATCACCAGAAACCTGTGTTATTTATAATATAAAAGGTGGAGGCATTGCCTGTGTCCCCAACACTCCTCTCCTTAGCTGTTCAGCCACCATGGGGCCACCACTAAGATCCTGAGCCGGCGATGCTCCGGGCTTTACTCTGCCTTTACTCAGCCGTGCAGCTCAGGCACGAGCCAGTGTCTGTGAGCACACACCTCTCACGTTGGTTCTCCCACGTGCTGAACTGCGCCTTCGTGCTCCTTGAGCATGGCTCATCTAATCTAAACCCAGACCTCTGTAGAGAGGACATCCTCACCTGAGCTGATCACCTCCTCTGTGTGGTCTGCTTGAGAATGAGAAGAGCAACCCAAATCCCCTGGCTAGGCAGACCAGGTCTCCATCATATGTGCGATTGGTGTTCCCTCAGCAGATCGCTGTTTTTCTTTATTTAAATCCAGAGCTGCTCCTTGAGGCAGCTGTTTGCTGGTTATCACACCTTTGGCCATCATCACGGCATTGCAGCACGGAGCCTCACTGTAACAACGGGACAAGGGTCACAGGCTTTCCCAGCACCATGAATCCTGTGTGCAGGCTCAGGGCTGGATCTCTCTGGTGTGCTTACGGGGAGAGAAGAATGGAGATCAGCACTGCAAACAGCACCCGGAGGAGTAGGTTGGGTTTCTTCCTGCGGGGAGTCAATGCTTTGGCACAGCACACCCAAAACATTATTATTGTGATTTGTTAACCACTGCTCACAAGGAAAAGGCATTGCCTCTGGGTTCTGTGGATTTTTTTTTTTCCCTACAGCTAAGCTAATCTGTGGCGATACTGCAGGTCCCAGCAGATGTCATATGAGGCTTTTTTTCCATGTGGAAGATGATGCTGATGATCTTCAAGCCTTCCACAAGGCTTGAATGAGACCAGGAGCTCACAAGCTTGTCTTAGCTTTCGGGACACACTGAATTTCTTCCATTTAGGGCATTTTGTTCTGTGATGTCCCACTGATGTACAGGTGAACCTGCTCTCTTCCTACCCAATGCCAAGGCACACAGAAACAACAACTGCGTGGGACTCAAAACACTAGTAGCGTGCTGTAGACAGGGACCCTGAAAGAGTTTTCAGCTCCCGTTGTATTTCAGTGTCTCTCTTTCATTTCTCATGTCGCTGGCAGGGCAGGTTTGGGATGGTGCAAGCAGAAATTACCTGAGCCCAACCACAAGCCCAGATCAATCCAGGGAGATGTCCTGCATTTGAGGTCAGGCTGCTCCGTGGTGGAAGCAGTGACCAGGAGGACTCTCGATGCCCAGTCCCCAGCTGTTTGTGCCTGTAGGAAGCATTCTTCTAAGGAAACAAGAATATGCTTCAATGTTTGGAGTCTTTTCCTCCCAAAGCATAAAGGTTTGCCCAAATGCTGAAGCTGTATCTGCTTCAAGTTCTTTGCAGTGCCTCATGTGTCCGCAGTGACTGATCTATAACCTGAAGGGGCTCCCCAAAATAAGGGTTAAGCCCTCATCCATCCCTGTCACTGGCAGCTTACCCCTAAATCTCTTTCTCCCTCCTGATGCCTATCCTGTGCAGACTTCAGGGATGGTTGGCTTAGACTGAGGAGGGAAGGGAGTTAACTTCACAGGATGCCTTTTTGCCTTCGATCCTACAAAGCAGTTAAAAAATTTGCATGATATTCATGGCTCTTTGTACTGCCTAGAGCCAGGCAAGATTAATAATACAAGAGCAGAGATCGAAACATTGATATATTTGTATTCATGAATTTTAATGTCAGAAGAAACCATTCTGGGCTGATCTCCTCTGTATCCAGACCCTTTGAACTTCTCCCAGATAGCTCCGTATGGAACCCAGTAGCTCACATTTGCCTAAGCCATATCTTCCAAAGAAGTTTTCAAGTTTGGATTTGAAGCTACCAAAGGATAGAAACTCCATTGTTTCCCTCGGTGCCAGTTTCACTGATCCATCACCTCCTGTTTAAAATGTGGGCTTTGTTTCCCGTTTGAGTTTGCTTGGCATATGGCTCCCAGCTATTAGTTCTCGTTATGCCTTTCTGTTAGATTAAAGAGCCCTTCAGTACCCGCAGCTTCTGCTTGAAAAGATGTTTGTGCACTATGGTCAACTTCTCAGTCCTCGCCGTTGTCGTTACAATAACTCGATTCAGGCTTCCTGGTCTCCCCACATCAGGCATTTCCTCCAGCCTTCAGATCCTCGCCCGTGGATATATTCTGTCCTGCTCGCTAGGACACAGCATCCCATTCTCAGCCATGTTCCGCGTCCCTTGTTCATCGGTGGATAATTTTTATATCTGTTTCCATTAAAATATTGCAGGCAGATTTATCAGGCACACTTTGAATCATTCCGACTAACGAAATCAAGTTTGGAAGCACCTGTTTTCTCTGCAAGTGCTTCAACTAAAAATAATATTACGGCTTTTCTTCAGTGCTTAATGAATTGAAGTCTGTATCAGATTTCCCATTATTTTGCCCGGAGCTGATGTCAGTCAAGCCAGGGTGTATTTAGGAGGTTCTTCTTTGTATATCTTTGCTAAATCTTGGCACAGTGTTCTGGTGTTCGGGACCTGCCCCAGTGCTCCAGCACAGATTAAAACTGCACAGCAGTGGGCCAGCAATTTACACAGCCAGCTCTGTAAGGACTCCTGGGCACGCTGATTTCAGCCTGTTTATCCAGAGCAGATGGTGTTTCCAATTCTCCTTGCCTGCTGAGGAGCAGAAGGCACTTCACTGTTCCCCACCCCATCCGATGGGCACATGCCCCTGCCTTTCCCTAAATACTGAGCACCAAACCCCTCGGCCTCTCCTGCAGCACCACACCATGACACTTGTCTTCATTTCCCTCTGCTGATGGCCAGTATGATGGCTGGTGTTTCCCTGGTTCCTATTAAGCTGCTTACACAACTCCTAGCTGAAGAGACACCCAAACATGCACACAACTCCACGGTTTCTCCTGGAGCTTGGCCCTTTTATCTTTTATCCCCAAGCCCAGCAGAAATTGAGATATGTCCAGTTTGACCTTACCCAGCCCTACAGCTGCAACCTCGAGCCTCCCGCTTGTCTGCCAACGTGTTCCAGCCCTGCTTTGTCCTGTTTTCCACCGGTGTAGCTGTCTCTTTTAACTAAGTTTCAAAAAGATGACATTTTGCAATGTATCACGTTGAAATGGATGAGTGCACAGAGGTCAGGTTTTTTCAGAAGCGAAAGGCGAATGCTGGGCTGTACAGGATGGGGTTTATTTTTGGCCTCGACTGGTGCCAGCGAGGATATTTCGTGGCCCTTTCTGCCAGGCCGATAGGCATATGCTCAGGATGTTCCCCGCCAGCTGGGATCTTTCTGGACCACAGCAGCGAGGCAGCCGATATTTGGACAGGTGACCGGGAGGAAACTCGGTGATTCAGCAGGTGGGGTCCTTCCTTCCGAGTCAGTGCTGAAACACCAAACAGCGCTGGGTTGCCGGAGGATGTGTTTTTTATTGGAAATATTAAAACTGATCCAAGCACTCATGGCTATTGAAAAATCAGATGATATTATACCTCAGAACGGTTATGAATGATAATCCGTTTAGGATTAATTTAGTTGGTCAAGCTTTTATTGCTTCTGCCATTCAGCGTTGGGAGGATGCTCGTTTCTTTTCCTAAAGCTTTCTGAAGTAACAGGTGGCTCTGACTCGTTGATGGATCTGAACAGGATATTTACTGGGTGGGTTAGGATGCCCAGAATTGTATCCTGGGGATTCTCTGTATCAATTCAGGATCCATTTGCAGTTACACCTATGTATGCTGTCGGTGCAATGAATTGGACCAAAGCATTGTAACCTTTGGCTTTTTCACCATATGGAAGCAGATTTCCCTTTAGAGCATTTTAAGGTGTACAAGATATATCCAGGCATCTGTCCTGAGAGCTAGTGCTGGCTTGGATGGAGGATGCTGGTGAGGGGCAGCTCCTGCTGTGAGGTGTGATGGTCCCTGTGGTGTAAATAACTGGGAGAATTTGTTGGAAAATTGTCTTTCTGCTCCACAGGGAAGACTGAACCACAAGAGACAGAATGGGAGAAAAATATAATAAGTGATCTACAATGACACTTAGGTCTGTTGTACATGAGAGCATCTGATTTACTTGCCCAAGGGCTCCTTTTGTGTGCTCCCCCTGCCAGCCTCATGCAGGAGGCAGCTGAGAGCATCACCCTGCCCTGCTGCAGCACAATTACTCTGCATGGACATGCAGCTCTCATAAATCCTTTCTCCTGTGTTGTTTCTTGCAGGTAAACTATGACCACTTTACTACTAGTGTTTGTGTGTTTGCGAGCCATCACCGCGGCCACCTCTGTGGTGCTCTCAGGTACGTGCTGCGGGGCGCAGGGAGCCAGCACCGAGCAAGGTGCTGTATACTGGTCCCAAACCCAAGTGTAGGCATCTCTAGGTGTGCCCAAAAGTTCCTCTGTGTACACATGGGGCCCTTCGCCAGGTGGCTGCAGCCACAGTCCGTCACTGTCCTTATGCTTGGGGAGCTGGGGGGGTAGCTCAGCCAAAGGTGGATTTAGGGGGAAACCAAGGGAATTTCATCATTCCCCCTTTTTTCAGCCCTATCAGGTGTGATCTCGTGTTGTGGGCAGTAGGTACACTGCAGTACAGCCCTTCATTCCCTTCATTCCCACATCCCAACTCCCAAGAGCAACCATGGAACAAGGGTCATTGCTCTAACTTCCATTTCTGCAAAGCATTTCCTGCAGACTAGACCAAAAAGGGCTCACCTGAGCGTGTGGGTAGTTTTCGCAGCAGACAGGCATTGGGGACGTACAGAAGCGCCGGATATTTTGGATAAAGTGCATTACCTCTGTAACCATTGCTTTGTTTGGGAACTGGCAGACAGTAGTGATGGCCTGGAAGTGAAGATACCTGAGCAGTCTCCCCTGCGCGTTGCCCTGGGCAGCTCCCTGAACATCCCCTGCTACTTCAACATCCCGGAGGAGGAGGACACCAGTGCTCTGCTGACCCCGCGGATCAAGTGGAGCAAGCTCTCCAACGGGACAGAAGTTGTCTTGCTCGTGGCCACCGGTGGGAAAATCCGGCTCAACACGGAGTACAGGGAGGTGGTCTCCTTGCCCAATTACCCCGCCATCCCCACCGACGCCACCTTGGAAATCAAGGCGCTGAGATCCAACCACACCGGGATTTATCGCTGTGAAGTGATGTACGGGATTGAGGACAGGCAAGACACAATAGAGGTCCTGGTGAAAGGTGAGACCCTGCCTTTGCTGTTTCCTCCCAGGATCATTCTGGGCAGAAGGGAAGAAGAAATATATGGACAGGGAAGGTGCTGCTCTCCCCATAAGCATCAGCCCTTTTGGTCAGGCCTCAAATAGGGTCACAAACAAGTGAGCAGAAGCCATGGGCCAAGCTTTTATTTCAGCAGGTTAGCAGCAGACTAAACTGAGCAGAAATGACTCATGGCTGAGTACATGGCAATAAAAGGACTTTTCTGGCAGAAGGTGAGTTAGAGGCAGGAGGATGACGCCCTTGTCAGGAGGTGGTGCTGGGTGTGCTGAGCTATTGCTCAGAGCGAGGCAGGAACAGGGCTAGCGCAAAACCTTTTAATTCATCCAGACATTTTAGGAGATGGGATGCCCTCAGCTGGAGAATTGGTCTGTTCTGGAAAACCTTTCCCCACAGCCTTAAAAAGCCCACCCTACTCATAGGTGAATAAAAAATCCTTTTGTTTAAGGATCCTATGATCCTTATCTTTATCACGGGTCTTGCTTCCAGCACAGCAGGAGAAACGAGGAGCTTTCTGCTGGGCACAGGCACAGCACGGGCTGGGAGCCCCCACTTTGCCTCCCGGTGAATTTTCCACTTGGCTGGTGCCAGACCAGAGCGTGCAGAGAGCCTTCCCTCAGAAAGCCCCCTGTTTATCAAAAAACACAACTCACATTTTCAGATGATCCAGAGATTTTAAGTGGTATGCCTCATATGAAATATAGTTCTTTTTCCCTGGGTGTTTGCAGGAGCAGGGGGTTTGCAGCACCCTTCAAACACACGCAGCAGTCACTGAGTCACCCTGGGCTCGAGATGCTAAAACACAGAAAATCAGCACAAACATCCATCGTTTCTCATCCCTTTCTCCGCATCCCTGACTCCTGTGGAAGGAAGGGGCTGGGTCCTCCCCAGCAGGCATGCTGCTGATGCCCGTTGTGTTTTCCAGGCGTCGTGTTCCACTACAGAGCCATCTCCACGAGGTACACCTTGAACTTCGAGAAGGCCAAGCAGGCCTGTATCCAGAACAGCGCTGTCATTGCTACCCCCGAGCAGCTGCAGGCTGCCTACGAGGACGGGTACGAGCAGTGCGATGCCGGCTGGCTGGCTGACCAGACTGTCAGGTAAGGGCAGGGCTGTGATGTGAGGGCAGGAGTCCCGTGATGAGCTGCGGGATGGGGGCGGGTGGGATGCAGCTGTGAAACAAAGGGTCTCGTGATTGCTGGTGTGCAGGGGGAGGTGTGGGCTGCAAGGTTTTTCCTACCGGGGAGGGATCTTTAGGAGGAGAGCTGAGTGGACGACAGCTTAACCCCAATCCTTCCTCTCTGATGAACGAAACAGATGCTAAGGAAAGATCCCTGAGTGTGGCTCAGCCCCCATGAGGAGGCATCTTGGCGTGGAGCCCGGGAGAGCAGGACAGCGGGTCTCAGGGGGTCCCGCTCCCACCTCCCCACACATTTTCTCCCCCCAGGTACCCCATCCACCTGCCCCGGGAGCGCTGTTACGGCGACAAGGATGAGTTTCCAGGAGTGAGGACCTACGGTGTCCGTGAGACTGATGAAACCTATGATGTTTACTGCTATGCAGAGCAAATGCAAGGTGATTCGGGGGGGGGTTCTTGCCAGGTGCAGGAGCTGCCAAAGCTCTGTTCGTGCCTAGAGCAGACAACAGTGCACAAAGGGCCTAGAAGACGGCAGGTTACAGATGAAAAACACATCATCCCCCAGCCAGGCCGCATGTTCTCTGCAGTGTCTTTGTTAGACCTTGGACGATTTTAATGTCAAATGACTAATGCAGCCCAGAGGGTGGAGCTGGACTAACCTCCACCAGAGGCCGTGCCATCCTGCTTGTCTCTGCTCACTCATTCAGGGCTGTGATATCCAGAAGTGTCCACCACCCGTGGTTATAGTAGGGGCCCAATGAAATATTCAGCACATCAGAAGTGAAATTGTCCTTTATTTTGCTCTTATCCCATGACTCCAGCTAGCTGAGCGTGTTTCCCTTCAGTTATCTGCTCCACAAGACTCCCTTTCTTCTGGTCTCTAGAGATAGTCACAAGGTGGGGCTGCAGCTCAGCTGTAGCGCGCAGGATTTTTCCTCTTATCCACACTCAGGATTGGGAAAGGGGAAAGAGAGGGAACTGGGATTAAACCCGACACCAAATCCCTGTGCTGACGGATGCTCTGCTTGCAGGCAAAGTCTTCTACGCCACCTCCCCTGAGAAGTTCACCTTCCAGGAAGCATTCGACAAGTGCCGCAGCCTGGGAGCGCGGCTGGCCACCACGGGGGAGCTGTACCTGGCCTGGAAGGATGGCATGGACATGTGCAGCGCGGGCTGGCTGGCCGACCGCAGCGTCCGCTACCCCATCTCCAGAGCACGGCCCAACTGCGGGGGCAACCTGGTGGGCGTGCGGACGGTGTACCTGTACGTCAACCAGACGGGGTACCCGCACCCCCACTCCCGCTACGATGCCATCTGCTACAGCGGTGAGTGCAGTAAGAGACATCTTTGTACCCTGCAGGCAAGGAGCAGCTCCTTGGCCACAGCTAAATGAGCCTGAAATGGTCCCCAGTGCTTTTCTTTTGTCGCAGTGCTCACCGGAGGTTTTTCTGTTCTGGTTTGAAAGAGGACCAGGTGGGACTACCCAAATATTTCTTGAGAAAACATCCAGTAGTGTAGTCTAGGAGCGTGAATTAAATTCATTGTAATAATTCACACAGGCTGATGGAGGGGAGAATTTTCCACTCTTGGTCATTTTTCATCTCAGGCACTGCCAGGTAGTAATTCAGTGTTGCTGGTCACTGAGGCAAAGGGACCTGGTCTGAATCCCTCATTTATGTTCAGGTTGGAAGCATAGAGTCCAGAAAGTGCACAGGTGCCTGTGCTGTGCAGGAGGGCTCCAGGAAGGGGGGAGCAACACAGTCCTCTGCACCCCAGTGCCCCCACACCTTCCAGCTTCGGTAGCAGACATGGAACAGAGCCCAGGTGCTTTTTGTACAGGACTTTGAATGCTGGAAAAGAGGAGAAAAGAGAACAGATCTGACCCTGTCTAGTGCTGTGATGTGGTGCAGACACTTAGTTTCCGTGCTGGGATAAATCAGAGGCTGCAGCAGTCTCTGGCAACTGTAAATGGGGCAAAATTGCACCTGGGAAGTGCGGAGCATCCCTGCGATGCCCTCTTTCTTCTAACTGCACTCTTCTCCCTGCAGCGAGAAGGGGGCGAAGCACAGCTGTGTACGGTCAGCTCAGGGCAGCCAGCAGCCAGCATTCGAATAAGGCTTCCGTCTTTGCAGAAATGATAAGAAGAAAATGTGTTTTGAAACCCTTTTTCCCAGGCCTATTGTGCCAAATAGGTGTGTTCAGTGTATCAGAAGGTCCAAGTGCCTGTCCCTGTAAAACCTCTCAGACTTCTTGGTATCCATCAATGTGGCCAAGCCAAAGCTGGTTCCATCAGCACAGCTCTCCGGTTATCTCAGGGCAAGCATTCAAAACCTCTGAGTACAGCCAGTCCTTGTCTGAATATCTCTGTCTAATTTATTGAACCCTTTAAGATCTAAGAGGTACGACCTAAAATGAACTAGCAGGAAAATGGAATTGGAAGTAAATAGAGTGGGGACAACAGTCTTAGAGGCAAAGCCTGGCAGTGTCTTGTTAGCTCTCCCTCCCCAGCAGATACTTGCCTTGCTGTGTTTCCATCCCTCCCTGACCTCAGTTCTGTTTGATGCTGCTCTTTAAGCCCCCATCCCTGCTGTAGGCTGATGCTCAGTGGAGCATCAACAAGCACGTTCTCCTACCCCTGAGGGATGTGGCTTGTGCAGGAAGGTGATTTGGGAGGGGACAGGTGGGAGTGATGCGCTTGATCAGGTGTGTTTGGTGATGGAGGAAGCGTTCTTGGATGTGGTGAGTTCCTAGGTCCTCGCAGAGCAGAAGGAGGCAGTGATCCTGGTGAGACTTCTTGCTCTTAGTGTGAGGCTCCAGGTGTCTCCCTGCACCTCTCTTGGGCTCAGACCTGCTGTGGAGGTTTCCCCAGTCCCCTGCTTTCCCCCGGCCACCTTAAATTCCTTGCAGCAGGCACTAGAGGTCAGTGCAGACTTGGATATGGGCAAGATGCTCCCGGGAACGAGAGCTGGGAGGAGAACAGGGAAAGTCCTCTGCTTTCCCAGCTGTGGTGAGTCATTGCCTCGAACTCATCAACATCCAAGGCCAGGCTGGACGGGGCTTTGGGCAGCCTGGTCTGCTGGGAGGTGTCCCTGCCTATGGCAGGGGGTTGGAGCTGGACGGGCTTTAAGGTCCCTTCCAACCCAAGCCATCCTGTGATTCCAAGATCTATGCCCTCCATGCTGGGCTGTCATAGAGTGGAGAAAGGAAAGCCATGTGTTTTACCAGAACATCAGGATTTTCCTGCTAACCTCACAGCCAGCAAACACCCAGCTCCTCCAAGGCAGCCCCAGCAGCGCACACCTCTCAGGACTGCCCCCAGCTCACGTTGCTCTGTCTCATGATGCAGGTGATGACTTTGAGGCTCTAGTCCCGGGGCAGTTCACCGACGAGGTGGGCAGCGAGCTGGGCAGTGCCTTCACCGTGCAGACCGTCACCCAGACTGAGGTGGAGCTGCCCCTGCCCCGCAACGCCACCGAGGAGGAGGCCCGCGGCAGCATCGCGACCCTGGAGCCCATGGAGATCACCCCCGCTGCCACCGAGCTGTACGAGGGCTTCACCAGCTTCCCCGATCTCCTCGCCACCATTGCCACAGGAGAGACAGCATCCCCTGGGGAGGAGAACGTGACCAGAGAGGAAGTCACGGAGGTGTGGGCTGTGCCCGAAGAGGTCACTACGTTGGGATCAGTCACCACTGTCACCACCGAAATGGCAGAGGTGAGCTCGGTGGAGGAGGCCATAGGGGTGACAGCCACACCAGGGCTGGAGCCTGCCTCGGCGTTCACAGTGGAAGATCATCTTGTGCGAGTGACAGCAGCCCCTGATGTCGCCCTCATCCCCCGGCAGCCCATTTCCCCCACCGGTAAGTCAGCACGACTCTGAGAAGCCTGAAGGTCAGCTTCTAGAAATAACTATTCAGCTGAAAAGTCTGAGCTTCTGCCATCACAGAGGGCACCCAGCTCTCTGGAGGCACGCAGGCCTGTTTGGGGTCACAGGCAGGCTGAACGCCTCCACAGTGGTGGGACAGGAGGGCTGTGGGACACCTCAACATGTGCTGGAAGGGCTCAGGTGGCTGCTGCTCGGGGCTGCAGTGGTCATATCTACATTCCCATGGACATCTGGCTCCAGGGAGGGGGGAAATCAAGGTAGCAAGATCCCAGAGCAGGGCTAAAGAGATCCCCAGAGCATCACCCTATAAAACAGCAAAGCTCAATGAGTGAGGGATCTCCATCAAAGTGGGTTTGACAGGCGGTAGCCCTTGCATTGCCATCAGGAAGATCCTATCTGGTCACACATCTGGGTTTGGCAGGTTCCTGTGTGCCCTGTCTCACCGTGTCTCCTCTTCCCCCAGGTGTGGTGTTTCACTACCGCGCCGCCACCAGCAGATACGCCCTCTCCTTCGTGCAGGCCCAGCAGGCCTGCCTGCAGAACAACGCGGTTATCGCCACCCCCGAGCAGCTCCAGGCTGCCTACGAGGCTGGCTTCGATCAGTGCGATGCCGGCTGGCTGCGGGACCAGACAGTCAGGTAAAACCATATGGATGAGGGCAAGGCACCCCCTGAAATGATTTTTCGGCCGTGAGCTTGGGGCTTCACTCTGGTCTGCCCTGCTGCTCTGATTGTCAGCAGCTGAGGCTGCCCTAAGGCTGTCTCATCGTATCTAGTAGTGGCCGATAGACCTTTCTTCTCAACCTGTCCCACCCCTTTCCTAATCTGTGTGAGCATCCTGCAGTGCTGAGCCTCACTGCATACTGACACATTGCAGGAAAGATGGAAGAAAAAATTGTATTCACTGCCCTGAGCTGGAAGTGCGGGTTAAATTTGTTTCCAAGTTGTGCTGGGGTCTCTGAGCACCTCTAAATGTGAAGTTTTTTTTTATGTCCTGTTCCCAAATACATTGAGATCTTTCATCCAGATCACATAAGGCTGACCTTGGGTTGCCTCCTCTCTTCCCTCTATAGGTATCCCATCGTGAATCCCCGCAGTAACTGTGTGGGAGACAAGGAGAGCTCTCCGGGCGTGCGGTCCTACGGCATGCGCCCAGCCTCAGAGACCTACGACGTGTACTGCTACATCGACAGGCTAAAGGGTGTGTTGTCCCCGTTCCTCTGAGCTCTGCTGTGGAACAAAACGTGCTCCACACCCCCACGTCTGGGGTTGGGCAGATGTGCCACAGGATGCCAAGGGTGGTGAGTTTCCAAGACTCATGCTTGTCTTTTCCATTATCTCTCAGGTGAGGTGTTCTTTGCCACCCAACCAGAGCAGTTCACCTTCCAAGAAGCCCAGCAGTACTGTGAGAGCCAAAATGCCACCCTGGCCTCTGTTGGGCAGCTCCACGCTGCCTGGAAGCAGGGCCTGGATAGATGCTACCCGGGCTGGTTAGCCGATGGCAGCCTGCGGTATCCCATCGTGAGCCCCCGGCCCGCCTGCGGGGGAGATGCGCCCGGCGTCAGGACCATCTACCAGCACTACAACCAGACGGGATTTCCCAACCCGCTGTCACGGCATCACGCCTTCTGCTTCAGAGGTACCATCCCACCCCTCGTAGGTCATAAACACCTTCCTGCTCGGGGAGCAGGGTTTCATGAGGGAGCTTGGGCACATCAGGGTCCCGGTTTGGGATAAGCAGGATCCACCAAAGAGTTGCTTCTTCTGGGAACTCAAAGGCACATCCTCATAATTATCTATTTACTTTATTGTCTTGATAAGCCCTCAGAGGAAAAGTCTCACACAGTTCCCTCTGCCTCCACTTCTCTGCTCAGCTTGTCAGAAGTAATCTCCCACTATCAGTCTTTGTCTACTTTTTCACCATGGGTCATTATTTTTGTGTCTGGCTCATCCCTTATGCAGCCACTTCACCTGAGAATGCGAATTCTTGGAAACTCCCTCCATATCTTTCTTTTCCAGCTCTGCCATCTGTGGAGGAGGAGGGGGTTACCTCACTCTTTGAAGAAGAGGTGATGGTAACCCAAGTGATCCCTGGAGTGGAGGGGATACCTTCTGGGGAGGAAACTACTGTGGAGATGGAGTTATCCACCGAAATTGAGAATCAAACAGCCTGGGGAACAGAGGTCTTCCCAACTGACATATCGCTGCTCTCAGGTGGGTCAGGTGCTTCTCCATCTCTTGGGTCATGTTTGGCTGCTCTTGTAGGGCCAGGGCACTCCTAAAATAAACAGGATGTGTCCTCACATGAGGGAATCCTCTCCCAATGCATCCAGGAATCAAAGAGGAAGCTTATTGGTCTCCTATCATGTGGAGTTAGCTCTTCACATAACAGCCTCAGGTGCATTTCAGAAGAGTGTGCTGGGAAGCGTGGAGGTGCTCAGGATATATCCTGTGCAGTTAACAGTTATTTAAGATATTTTACTCATTAACAAATTTGAGAGGATCAAAGGGTTTTTGCAAATGCCTTTATCCCAAAGGTGATTTTATTATTTTATTAGATATCAGTTTGGAGGTAAAGTCGGTAGGGAAGTTGCTGACAGCTTCTTTAAAATTGTTTAGTAAATGATTGTCCTATCTCCCTCTCCTTTTCCCTTCCTTTTTTTTTCCAGTGAGCCCATCTGCTTTTCCTCCAGCTACCGTACTACCAGAGGAAACAAGTACCAATGCTTCCATCACCGAAGTGTCAGTGTCAGGAGAGATCCCTGAATCCGGAGAGCACCAAGTCAGTGGTGAATCTTCAGCATCAGGGTGGGTATCTGGAGCCCCAGATACAAGCGGAGAACCAACTTCTGGAGGTTTTGAGCTTAGTGGAGAACACTCAGGGATTGGAGAAAGTGGATTACCATCTGTAGACCTGCATACCAGTGGCTTTGTACCTGGAGAAAGTGGCCTGCCCTCCGGGGACCTGAGTGGCTTGCCTTCTGGCACTGTTGATATCAGTGGCTTACCTTCTGCAGAGGAAGATATAATCGTGTCTGCTTCCAGGATACCAGACATTAGCGGGATGCCTTCTGGAGCTGAAAGCAGCGGGCTGCATTCTGGCTTTAGCGGAGAAATCTCCGGTACTGAACTCATCAGCGGCCTGCCGTCTGGAGAGGAAAGCGGGCTCGCCTCTGGCTTTCCTACCGTCTCTCTTGTGGACTCCACCTTGGTGGAAGTTGTAACAACGGCACCAGGACGGCAAGAGGAGGGAAAAGGATCGATTGGAGTCAGTGGTGAAGGAGAGCTATCAGGGTTTCCATCTGCTGAGTGGGACACCAGTGGAGGAGCCAGGGGGTTGCCCTCAGGAGCTGAAACCAGCGGAGAGCCCTCAGGGCTGCCTGAGCTCAGCGGGGAGCCCTCAGGGGTGCCTGAGCACAGCGGGGAACCTTTTGGGGTGCCTGAGCTCAGCGGGGAGCCCTCTGGGGTGCCTGAGCTCAGCGGGTTCCCCTCGGGGCTGGATGTCAGCAGAGAACCTTCTGGAGTACCTGAGGTGAGCGGTGTGGTGGACCTCAGCGGCCTTACTTCTGGTGGTGATGGAAGCGGTGAGGCCTCAGGCGTTACCTTCATAAATGCCAGCTTGGAGGAGGTGACAACCCCTTCACCCGCAGAAGCAGAAGCGAAAGAGATTTTGGAGATCAGTGGATTGCCCTCAGGAGGTGGGGAGACATCAGGCATGGCGTCTGGGGGGTTGGAGCTCAGTGGCCAGCCCTCGGGACACATGGACTTTGGTGGGAGTGTTTCTGGGGTGCTCGAGATGAGCGGACTTCCAAGCGGGGTCATCGACGGCAGCGGAGAAGTCTCTGGTGTGGATGTCAGCAGCGGCCTGCCTTCTGGAGAGGAAAGTGGACTCCCCTCTGGCTTTCCTACAGTCTCTCTTGTGGATACCACTTTGGTAGAAGTTGTAACGCAGGCATCGGTTGCACAAGAAGTGGGAGAAGGGCCGTCTGGGGTGATGGAGATCAGTGGATTTCCTTCTGGAGACAGAGGACTATCTGGAGAAGGGTCCGGAGCCGTGGAGTCTAGTGGGTTTCCTTCAGGGACGGGAGACTTCAGTGGAGAGCCATCTGGGGTCCCGTATTTCAGTGGAGACATTTCTGGAGCTACGGATATAAGTGGACAATCTTCAGCAGTGACTGATATCAGCGGGGAGGTCTCAGGACTTCCAGAAGTCACTTTAGTCACTTCTGATTTACTAGAAGTTGTGACGAGACCAACAGTTTCACAGGAACTGGGTGGGGAAGCAGCTGTCACCTTCCCCTATGGTTTTGGGCCAAGCGGTGAGGCCTCTGCATCTGGCGAACTCAGTGGGGAAACATCTGCGCTGCCAGAAAGTGGCATAGAAGCATCAACAGTTTATGAAACCAGCGGGGAAACATCTGCATATCCCGAGGTGACTGTAGAGACATCCACGATTCAAGAAATCAGTGGGGAAACATCTGCATATCCTGAGGTCAGTGTAGAAACATCCACGATTCAAGAAATCAGTGGGGAAACGTCTGCATATCCTGAGATTAGTGTAGAGACATCCACAATTCAAGAAATCAGTGGGGAAACATCTGCGTTTCCTGAAATTAGCCTAGAAACATCCACAATTCAGGAAGTAAGTGGAGAAACATCTGCATTTCCCGAAATAAGCATAGAAACATCAACAAGGCAAGAAGCCCGGGGTGAAACATCTGCTTACCCTGAGATTATCATAGAGACATCCACGATTCAGGAAGTCAGCGGGGAAACGTCTGCCTTTCCTGAAATCAGCACTGAAACATCCACCATTCAAGAAATCAGTGGGGAAAGTTCTGCCTTTCCTGAAATTAGAATAGAAACGTCCACAGTTCAAGAAATTAGTGGGGAAAGCTCTGCCTTTCCTGAAATTAGAATAGAAACATCCACAAGTCAAGAAGCCCGGGGTGAAACATCTGGCTTCCCTGAGATTAGCATAGAAGCCTCCACTGTTCATGAAACCAGTGGAGAAACATCTGCCTTTCCTGAAATTACCATAGAGGCCTCCACAGTCCATGAAACCAGTGGAGAAACATCTGCCTTTCCTGAAATTAGCATAGAGACATCCACAGTCCATGAAATTAGTGGGGAAAGCTCTGCCTTTCCTGAAATTAGAATAGAAACATCCACAAGTCAAGAAGCAAGGGGTGAAACATCTGGTTTTCCTGAGATTAGCATAGAAGCCTCCACGGTCCATGAAACCAGTGGGGAAGCATCTGCATTGCCTGAAATTAGCATCGAAACTTCGACAGTTCGTGAAATCAGTGGAGAGACGTCTGCATTTCCCGAAATCAGCATAGAAACTTCGACAGTCCACGAAATCAGTGGCGAAACATCTGCATTTCCTGATATTAGTGTAGAAACTTCGACAGTCCATGAAATTAGTGGTGAGACGTCTGCGTATCCTGAAATTAGAATAGAAACGTCCACAAGTCAAGAAGCCCGGGGTGAAACATCTGGCTTTCCTGAGATTAGCATAGAAACGTCCACTGTTCATGAAACCAGCGGGGAAACATCTGCATTTCCCGAAATTAGCACAGAAACGTCAACAAGACAAGAAGCCCGGGGTGAAACCTCTGCCTATCCTGAAATTAGCATGGAAACATCCACCATTCAAGAAGTAAGTGGGGAAAGCTCTGCCTTTCCTGAAATTAGAATAGAAACACCCACAAGTCAAGAAGCCCGGGGTGAAACCTCTGCCTATCCTGAGATCAGCATAGAAGCCTCCACTGCCCATGAAAGCAGTGGGGAAACATCTGCATTGCCTGCTGTTAACATGGAAACTGCTGCCACATCTCTGGCCAGTGGTGAGCCCTCCGGTGCTCCTGAGGGGAAGGAAATCCATGATGAAACGTCGGGAGCTGCGACACACTCAGTCACAGGCGTTTCGGGGGAAACCTCTGTCCCAGACGTTGTAATTAGTACCAGCACTCCAGATGTTGAGCTAACTCAGGGACCCAGGAGCCCTGAGGAGGCTCAGCTCGAAATAGAGCCCTCCACTCCTGCGGCATCAGGACAAGAGACAGAAACAGCCGCTGTCCTGGACAACCCCACTCTGCCAGCCACCGCTACTGCTGCTCTGCCTCAAGCCTCACAAGAAGCCATCGATGCATTAGGACCCACCACAGAAGGTACTGTGCCTTCTCCTAATCCTAACACTACGGAAGGGAAGGGGAGGGAGGGAGGAAGGGGGCATATCTGTTACTTTTTGCTTCTTCTACAGCCAAGAGCATTAACACAGAAGCAGACTGAAGAAGAACATTATTATGGTGGGAAGCCATAAAAATGGGGGGGGTCCCACTATCCGTTAACAGCTGAAACCTCATGGTCTCAGTCCCTCATGCAGCAATCATTGGTGTCCCCAAAGAAACCTGTGGTTAACACCCCAACCGTGGGGACAGTTCTGCAGAGGGAATGCTCCCGTGTCACACTGCAGCAACACGAGCACACGAGGCCCCAAACCACGTCATGTTCAGTAGCTCCTGTCTTAACAGATGATAGGCTGTGCCGGGTAGGTACTAATTATCCAGCCCCTGTAACCGCATCCCCAGGAGCCTTGCAGGTGGCTTTCCTTCCCCTGCTGCACCTTGTAGGAGGCATCGGTCGCTCCTCCGAGCTGCTGCTCCTGGTGGATGCGGCTGCAGCCCAGCCCCGATGAGCAGCCTGGTGGAGCTGCCAGGAACACGGAGGGGGCATCGTCTGCTTCTGCCCCCAGGTCCATGGCTGACTGCTGGCACCTAGGTGAGCTCTCCCCTCCGTGCTGCTGGAGGGGGGGCTGCAAAAAGAGTATTCTGTGAACGATTGGCGAGAGCCGCTGGGTGTGATATGGCTGGCAAAGGCACCAAGGCATTCACGCCCCAGCTGAAATTGCTCTTAGCCATCGCTATCATCTAAAGAAAACAACATCTTTTTTTCTTCTCATGTGGAAACTAAAGCAAAGACGGCTCCGCCCGCCGGAGACTTCCACCCTGGCTGAGGGACGTGGCTGAGAAGTTGGATAAGGCAGGCTGCGAGCCTCTGCCCTGTTTTGTTTCTCTTTCCGTGATGTGCTGACTGGCTGCCCGGACCGCCGGGTGTTTCCAAGCACTTGCTCCATGGCTGCAGGCTGGCCATCAGCTGCTGCGCAGCGCCAAGGGGCTGAGAGGCAAAACAAGCCAGCTGGGGACCAAAATCTCTGCTCTGCGCCTTGTCACTGCTGGCTGTGACATTAGCACTGGGCACACTGCTCCCGTCTTCGTGCTGCCCTTTGGCACGGAGCGTGGCCACCCTCCAGTCTGCATCCTGTGCTGCTCTCTGCAGTGCAAACGGGCAAAATGCGTGAGGTGATGCTCACAGCAAGCCAACGCTGCCTTCTGGCAGCCCCGCTGATAGATGTGCTTCCCTCCACCCTGCCCCTTTTTGGTGCTTTAGCAGGACCCACTGCTGCCAAGTATAAACAGATACAATATTTAAATCTGAGCAGCCTTGTATGGTGAAAATGCTTCGCTAGCTTTCTGACAACCATGCAGCAAGCAGTGCTGACATGCCTTGGAGGCATTGGGATGCTACAAGGAGAAGAAGAGCAGGGGCATTGTCATGCCTGCCAGCCACTGCTTCTTGGCCAGGAAGGAGCCCAGGAACACAACATGTCCCACGACATCCCTGGCCATGGCTTGGTTTCACTTTGCTACTGCCAGTAGCAGGTTCTGGGGCATGGGCCCCATTACAAAACCATTCGTGCTTGTGCTGTGGCATAAAGGTGCTACGTGTGCTTTAGGTGCGTCACGGTTCTGGACGGGCTGCACCCTCACGTTGGGCACTCTGCAGAAGCATGGCACAAAAATATCTGCAAAGAGACCGACTCAGTTCCTTCTAGCAGAAGTAATTCATCCTGCCCCCTTCCCATCTTACCTCCTGCACTGGTTAATCCGCACCCCGTGGCACAGGCAGCTGGATTTGGCAAGGGTCTGTAAATGCAGGGCTGTGTGAAGCTCAGCCTGGTTTCTAACTTCGTTTCCATCCTCGAGGCAGTCTGAACGAGTTCCCTCTGCATCACTTCTCTCTGAGACACCAGGTAGTTGCAGACCTTTGTTCAGCCCTGGTCCCACACATCCCTGCAGAGCCTCTGCACAGCAGATGCTGCAGGCATGGGCGAGGACAAGGCATTAGGGTGGTTCCAGGGCCTGGGGCTTGGGAACTTCGTACCCAAAAATCTTCTTAGCACACCTAACGAGCCCTGCTTTTGGGCCATGCTCACTGCCACGTCCTAGCCTGGAGGTAAAAACAAGTCAGCAAAGGCGGAGGCGAGGGGAAGGAAAGGAACCAGCCAGTGAGGCTCAGCAAAAGAAAAAAAAATTGGCCCCAAAGTATGGTTTTATTTCACTGCTTATTCTTTTTATAAATTACCCACAAGGCGATTGCCAGATTCCGCGGAGCATTTGTTAGCCAACATTCTTGTGAAGTATTTAGAAAGAAAACCATGTGTTCGGCAGCTCATGTGTGAAGAAGTTTGAAAAATGTTCCAAAATTGGAACGTGTTGTGTATTCATGAGTCACGGGAATGACGCTCCGGCAGCTGGGGTTTCTAAGCAGGTGACACACAGAGGTAAGCAACCGCTGCGTGGAGCCTAACGTGGATTCCTGATCAACCAGAGATGGGCTGCAGGACACGTGCTTGGTTGGTGCTCCCCCAGAAGATATTCCAGAGTGGAAGAACATTTTGGTCAATGAGCTTCGCTACAGTATCCCTGCAGGGTGAAACGCAGCCCAGGTTGGGGTCTGAAGGAGGCTCATCCAGGCAGCAAGAAAGTGCACTGCCCGTGAACGTGCAGCACCTCTGCGCTGAGGGGAAACTCCTCCAGAAAAGAAGTGATGGCAGAAGGGAGGGGAGGAAGGAAAAACATTCACAGATCTTCTTTTACTTCAGCTACTCTTCCCACTGCGTTGGGAATCGTGAACATGAAAAATCCACAGGTTGGAACCCAAAATAATATTTCCTGTGCGGTGGCTCCCTTTCCACCTGAAGCTTCCTGGTCTTTGACTTTAGCTCTTGCAGAAAGACCACCTCTAATACCCGTGCCTTGTGCTGTGCTCAGAGCTCGCAGGGTGTAATGGTTGCCCATTAAATGCAACAAATTTTGAGTACCACTGAAGCACGGGTGAAGCCAGTTCAGCTCACAAAAGGAGCATGGAGTGAGGAGCAGGGGGCACGCGGCTGCTGGGCTCCTGTCCTGTCATTTAAGTGTTCCAGTTAGATTCAGCAGCCTTGTTAGTGGGATGATATCAGAAGAATGATATTTTTCTGCTCTGCTGTAGTCCCTACTTCTCTCTAAAGGACAGAGCCAGAAGCACAAGAAGACCAGAAATTAACGCTTGCCATGCCAGTATTCTTTAGTTTTTAACCAAATTGAAGGCTTTGCCTGCACACGTCTTTAGTCAGCAGTTTGACTCCTCCATGAGGACAGGAACCCTACGAGCCTACAGCTTGAAGAATTGTCCATGGACTTGGCGTCTCCACCCAGAGTTTTGCCAACTCAGTGGGTCTTTTTGCTTCTGGTAACATTTGAAGACAAATAATTATTAGCTGAGAAAAGCAAGCTGGCGCTTCAGCGAGAGGCTGTGGTTTGGAGCACTCCGACCAGCCAATGACTTAACAACTTCACTCAGGTCAGGGGGGAAAATAGAAATGTGCTGAAATGGCAGCAATTTATGTTAAGTTTTGCTTCTCTCTGGTGAAATGAACTCATGGAGCCTGCTGCCTAGGGCCCCAGCACAGCTGAAGGTTAGAAGTCATAGGGTGAAAGGTCTTGGTGAGGTTTCCTCCTTCTTCATACCCTGGAAATCCAAGGGACGGTGCTTTGTTGGTTCAAGGAAGACTGACCCAGAAGAAAAATGTCTAAAAACCATTCACCTGGTTCATAATGCTTCACCTAGTGTGGAAAGGAGTGTACATTCTCACGAAGGAAATGGAGCTTCCAGCCCTGGCTGAGAGATGAGCAGAATCAGAAACCATTCACGGCCGCCCAGATGATTTGATGTCTCCTGGACACACCACGCATTTTGCACCAAAATTTTATTTGCTTAATTCAGACCTTTCTCTGAAGATGCAGCCTACAGCCCTGGGCTAGTTTTTTATATGTATCAGTTAACTTCTAGACACAAGGTTTTGGAGGCAGAGATACTAAAAGTTGCTGAGCTCTCCTTCCATGGGAGTGTCGGACTAATCAAACATCCCAGCAGATTGGCAGCTTCTCCTAGAAACAGGCTGTGCCAATATCTGCCCTCCCACTGCATGGAGGATGTGGTTTAATCATTAAAGTTAATTCTTTTCAGAACTTAATTGCTCATCATAAGTCACTAGCTGGACACATGACGTTCAATGCTGGTACTTTACTTAAAATGTGAGGGAATTGTTTCCCCCAACTCCTCCTATTCTTTTCTTGTAGGAGTCAATCTACAATTGCCCAAATGTTTTTCTTCTCTGAGTTATCAGTTCAAACTTCCCCAGAGTCTTTGAAAAGCAAATTTAATTTGTACCTGGATTTTTTTTTTTCCTTTGGCCTCTAGAAGATAATGTTGTATCTGGTCTCTGAATCCCTGTCTGGATAATCACACTTAGAGGAATCTATAAAGAACGGGTGAGAGGCACTACAGGGACAGCTGGACATCCTGAAAATGCCTTGCCTTTCAGTCCTGTATTTTCCTCTCTGCAGCACAAAAACAGGAGTTTAAATCCTCGAGTGTGTTTCTAAACTAATCACTTAGAGCTCCAGTAAAACTGCACGGTTTATTTCAGGAGCTGGGTGATGGCATCCTGTCTGTTTGCAAGCTGCTTCTCCCCAGTAAATGTTTTAAGTGCAAACCTGGCCTTATTTAATGGATATTCTTGCTATCATCGATCCAGGCTGCCATTGAGAGAACTGCAGAGACTTTGTGACAACTGCACCATTTTAAGAAGTGTTAGCACTGTTTCTAGCATTGTCTTCTTAGCTTGGGATGAAGGATTTTGAAAGGAGTTCCTTCTCGCTGTGTGTTCACTTTTGCATGCCATTTGCCTTCTGAGCAAAACCAGGACTAATCTATTTCTCTTTCATTTCTAAAGGATTTTTCTTTCCAATTTCCATGATCTAGTACAGCACATTGTCTTCAAAGACACTGGGCAAATACTTCTGCTGTGTTTAGTTGCATCAAAAGAAAATAGTACTGACTAAATATAGTAAGTATCTGGCAATGCAAGAGAAAGCTTAGGAAGAAAATGGTGAAGGAAATTCAAAGTTTGCATTGTAACACTGCAACTCCCCTTGCTTTTGCCAGCCAACAGTTTACATCTTCCAGATGCAAGAGCCTATTTACGTTAGATTTCTTTGTTTTAATTTCTGGTTTCATTTAAAAAAAAAATCCAAAAGTTAGACCTTAAGTCCAGTTAATATTGTAAAATAGAAACTCTTGTGACAATAGGTTTGGATAATCTTTTGCAACTTCTGGGTGATATTAACTGCAGTGCAAATCATCTCACAAAGAGCTGTTGATTTTGCATTATCCTTGAGAAGTGAGTTAATAATAAGGTCTAAATGGGCTTCCTATTCTTGGCACTGTGAAGCATTTTCTTCTCTGCCTCTGTTTCAGAGCCGAAGCTCTTGAAAGCCAGGGCTGCCTCTGTTCTGCATCCCATGCCACATCAGTTGTCCTTTGTTAGCGAGGGTAATAATAGCAGGAGTTTCTCCTTGTCGCTTGATAAGCTCTCAAGCTGCACCTCAAAGCAGAGCTGACTTTTGAATGACTGCTCACCCAAGCAAATAAATAGCTCACGTACGCTGAAGGCCCTTGGGTGATGAGGGAGGGAGGAGGCAGCCGGTGCTGTGGGGCTTGGGGCTGGCCCCTGCTGAGCACAGCCTGCTGGTGACGGGCACAGCAACTTGCTGACCTCACCTAGCCCCAAACTCTGGGGAAGAGGGTGAATTTATGGCATAGAAAAGGTTAAGAAGAAATAAGCCAGGCACTGAGTGATAGATGGGATTCTTTTCACTGGAGTTCTCACCTCCCATAAATCCCATGGCTTTGATGTGGTATCCTAGAACCACCCACAAACTGCCTTGCCAGGGTTTCCAGAGGCACCATGGCTGCCAATCTTAAAGCTTACTTTCCTAAAAGACCAGATTTTCTGGGAGGACCAGAATCAGCAACACTTCCTCCGAGCTAACTGACATGTTTAAGTTTCCTGATATCAGCCTGGTGAGGTGATGCTGCATCCAGATGGAGACACAGTCACTGTCCCCACAGCAAACGGGCTGAAGGGGGAGTTTGGTATTTATGATCATCATGTGTTTAAAATGTCTTCTTTCCAGCCATTTGCAGCATGCTTCTAGGGGAAGAAAAAAAAAAGTCTCACTTTTATTTGTTGTCTGTTTTTCCTTTGCTACCTGTGAGTGCACACCTTCTCTCTGTGTGTGATATATACAGATATATATGGGTACGTATGGAGATATACATACCATATATACTGTACGCAGAGATTTGTTTTTACAGCCTATATAATATGTTCAGTCATATTATATACACTGTCTGTAAAAGGAAATTCTGCCCTGGTGTTATTTCCCAGCTGGAGAATTGTGGCAACGAATTTGCATGTGTGTGTCTGTCCCCTCTTCCTCTGGCCCAAGGGATGGCAACAACTCAGAAGAGATCTCGGATGCACCAAGTTTTAGTCCACCTTGCCAAAGACGACCAAAGATTCATAATCCCCCGCTAAATATTCTGCTTTAGCTCTTGCTTTAGTGCTCTGTTCCCACTTCTGCGCTGTGCTTTCCCCTCAATGGAGCCTGATGGACAAAGGAGAGCCTTTCCTTACTTGTTCAGCTGGAGCCCACTGGAATCGGTACAAACATCTGCTGCCACTGCTGTTGGAAGCCCGGGGGGACCTCTAGAGCTGTAATCATCCCTCAGGATCCTTCACTTTCCTTCACGCTTTCTGTCTTCTAAGAACTCCAAGTGTCACTGATAAGCAATAGCCAGCCAAGCGCAGCTCCTCTCTTCTACCAGGCCCCCTCCTCTCAGAGAAGAACTAACTGCAGAACTGGTGTGAGTGGTCCATCAGCCATCTGAGGAACGATTACATTGCTCACAGTGACACAGCCTAGAATAAAGATGAGAGTCCTCATGCTCCAAAGCATGAACCAATTTACCATCCGAGGTCAGGAAGAATGCTTTGCATCCCTCAGGCACATTACAAAGCATGCCATCTTTTATCTAAAATCATCAGACGTTGGCCACTGAGCAACCAGACGTTCACACCAGGTATAACGTGTCTGCTCTCATGTGTCTGGGGACACTGAGCAACTGGGCTACTCAGGCTGAAAATGCCCTAGCCAGAAGAACACAAATCTTGAGGAGTCCCTGCTCTGCTCTGGTATTTGCACAGCCACCATGTTCATCATCTTTGAGAGTTTCTTCACTAACCTCTCTCATCCAGAAGAGCATGGGAAGTTAGTCAGCACTTTTACAGAGTTGCTTCTCTTCTGAGTGTGAAAGAAAGAGGTGTTATCTCGCATGAAGAGCTAATCAGTCATCACTTAGCCTAACCTGCATGGTGTGCTCCCACCTTCTTCCTTAGTCTTGTTTCTTTAGTTGAACATCTCTGAGATCTTTCCATTCTGAACCATTCTGAACCATTCCTTCTGATTCCAAAGGCTGATAAGTAGGATTAAGGCTCAGTATGGAGAGATACTAGGAGAAGGACTTTAATTCCAGCACAAATTACATTTTTGTATAGAGATACAAACTGCTTACACGTGGTCTTCTTCAGAGCATCCTTGTCTCCTTCATTCTTCCCCAAGATGATAGAGGATGGAAGTGCTATCAAACGATGGCACTTACCGCACAGGCTTGTGCAAATTAGCAAACTGAGAAACACTGGAAAGCTGGGGGCTGAATTCTTCCCATCCCAACTTCTCTTTTCAGCTGTGGAAAAGCAGAAGGAATCTTAAGAGCTGCTCTAGATGGGAAAATAGGAATAGTTTCCACCACCATGAGGGAATCCACAGCTGGGAAAGACCTACAGCTTCTTCCAGGCCCATCACAAGCAAGAGAGTGCACAGTGTGGACAGGTCTGGAGAGAATGGCACTATGATCCAGTGTTCTTCACCAAGGAAGAGGCCGTTGTAGCCCTTCCTAAAATCCTCACAAGGAGAAGGCTGAGGGTCTTTGATTCACCTTCGAACCCACTTCTTTTCTTCCCTGCACTTAGCTTCACTGAGATGAGATTACTTGCCCTGGGACTTCATCTGAATGATGGTTAGGAAGAAACTAGTAGGGAACACTGGCTCCAGGAATGCCAGCAGGGGTACAGACATCCATTTCAGGATGTTTTTCCCGCTTTTGGGAAGCCCACATTCTTCTGGTATGCACACAGCTGGTGGAGAAGGCCACGTTTGCATGTTCCATCCCTCAGGCAGAGATGGTAGACAATGAGAAGTCACCACAGCTATCAAAGAGGCTGAGTGCTGTTGGACATACGTCTTGCTGAGGCTGTCTTGATGTCTCCAGAGCAGTGTTCAGCCACCAAGTGACACCAAACCAACGTCCTCCTCGTAGGGTGGTCGGGCCTCTTGCCTTCGTCCCTCCAGCAGCAGCAGTGGCAGTATGCTTCCAAACACGAACCTGACACCTCCCAGGTTCCCCCAGAGCACCTGGTCCTCCCTAAACAAGCAAGGAAACGAGTTCTCCTCTTGGTGGGGTTCCCTGCCCAGAGCCCTAATGGAAGCCCTTCATTTCTTGCAGACTCTGATGAGTGCCACTCAAGCCCCTGTCTGAACGGAGCCACCTGCGTTGATGGCATCGACTCTTTCAAATGCTTATGCCTTCCCAGCTACGGAGGGGACCTGTGTGAGATCGGTACGGCCTACCTGGCTTCAGCTAATCTTACTAACAGCTCCACCACCTCCTTCCCACCCTACCCCAACGAGCTGATCCTAGGTGCTCCTGTCAGCCCTCATCTCCGTTAGCTAACCCCTAACAGCAGCTTGGAGGACAGCAGGGGAAGGTTTTGAGCCTTTTGCTTACATATTCTGGTTAGTTTGCTCATCACGGCGGCGCGTTCTCTAAGATCCCCAAGCAGGAACTTCTGGCGTCTTCTTCAGCTTTCTCTCACTCAGTTTCTCTGGTGGAGCTCCGTACAGAAGTCACTGTCTCGTTGGGTCAAGGTCCTGTTCATCTGTAACAGCAGGGAAGCATCTGAGCACATCTTCACCCCGGGCAAGCTGTCTCTGCTAGACTGGAATTTCATGGAAGGATGCTTCAAGCAGGCCGTGTGAAATGATTGCGTTTCACTCGGTGAGGATGCAGCTGAGAGAAGCCTCCTTCACCCCAGGACCCTCGGCCGATCTGACACAGCACGACATTTTTGTCATCTCTGCACCGCGGCTTCCCGTGGCAAAACCAGCGGGGAGTGTGTATCTGTGAGAAAACATGAAGCGACCTACTTCCACATCGAGATGAGGCGCACTTTGACCTGCACTAATACTTCTTTTTGTTTCTACAAGAAAAGAAAAAATATTATTTTTTTTCTTAAAGCTGATGGAAGCCCAAACTTTTGTCAGCTTAACTGAGGGGAAGCTCCCCTGCCTTGCTCAAACAAGAGCAATAAGTTTGCAATTTCGTACTCACCTTGACACAGTAATAAAAACACACGTTGGATTTTTTCCTCACCTGTCTGCATCTCTCTTTCTGCTTTCAATCTGAGCATATGGAGCAGACCATAAGAAGGTGGCTTAGGATTTTTGGACCGCCTGGGCAAGAATGATGCTGTCTTTATGTCTCCTTGCTAATGAAACCTCATCAGCTCCTGATTTACTCATCCCTGCTGCCTTTTGTTCCGCCAGAAGATGCCTACCCTGCAGCCGCTTATAAACTTGTTTGGCCCAAGCCAGCCTTAATTTCCTCCTTTCTGTGATTTATGGGCTCGCAATGCCTGGGGCCCATAGCGTGGGAGATGCAGGAGGAAATCAATGCCCCGAATTCAGTGGTGAATGCAAATCTTGATTATTCCCATCAGGCAAGTCTTCCTTTCTCTGACATCTATTGGGCTCCAAGAGCACCGGGACACTGCAGGTGATCTCTGCCATCTGTGCGTGGCCCGTCCTTCCTGTCACCACGAGTGTCCCTCCCAGGGACAAAGCTTTTTGTTGTTCTCCTCCAAGACGGTTGCTGTCATGTTTTCCCCTAAGTAACAGCTGTGTAGGACAGAGCGGCCCTTCCCCGAGGCAATGTCCTGCTGAGGCTCTGTGCCATGTGCTGTCCCGTCCCCAGGCTGTGATGACAAGGGGTGGCATTCAAGCAGCTGGAAAAAAAATATATTTAAATCTCCAAAGGCAGAGCAATGTCTGCTCACCTTGTGCGAGCGGTCTGCCTGCAGAAACCAAGGATCCTTAGAGCTTCAGCTACTTCCAGATAATCCCCCTGATCTGCTACGGAGGACAGAAAACATTTTAAACCCTCCCAATGCCTATGAAGCACCTGCAGTCCTCAGTCAGAAGAAGACCAGAAGGGTGGGCTAGCAGGAGTTTGTGTGATTGAAGGTGACCGTGCTTTGACCTACGGAGTTTAACAGCAGAAGAAAGAAACTGAGCACAGAAAACCTTACAGGGAAGGGAGAGAGGCACGAGCACTGATGAAATCTCACCACTCCCAGGGCAGGAGGTGGCTGAGAAAGGGTGGGAGGCCATGCCCCTGCAAGGCTGACATCAAACCCCTCCTGGCGTGCCCTCGATTTCTGCTCTCACCTTTACCGGACCTCTCTCCATCCAGGGTGTAGCAAGGCTCTCTCTGCTCCCTCCTCATGGACTGCAGAGGGAAAGCTCATCCCTGTGAATGCACATACTGAAAAAAAACGATGTGGCAGAGCTCGTTCAAGGCCCTAGAGGTACACCGCCTCCAGACAGTGGCTGCTCCTGCCCAAAACTCAATTTCATGTGCCACCACAGCACCGTTTTTGTGTCTGCCTCCAGTTCCTTCAGGCACATGGAGAAGTGTGCTGTTGTGTTGGATGGGAGCTACTGAAAGCTACTTTTGCGGTGGCTTCTCCATTCGCCTCTGTTCTCCCCATCCGTGGTTATATTTTATAATTAATAGGTTCAACTCTTCAGAGTTTCTCAGGTGGTAAAAGACACTCTAAAAAGCTGAGACATTTTCTGTCCTTTTCTCACAGCTTCCAAGACTTTCCCTTGAGATTTCATTTTCTTTCTCTGCCATGGTAAGTTCCTGCCCCCCCTTTCTCCATCTGGGTAGGCTTCCTTTTCCTCAGAACCACAGCAAGCGATGTGACCACCTGAACCCAGGCTTTCCTCCCCCCTTTCCTTTTCAACATGCAAAATGTCGATTCTGGGCTCTGGGATTCGGGTTTTGGAGATACTTTCCAAAGCAAGAAAACTCTGCAGCTCAGCACAAGTGAGCAAAGGGGGTTGTGGCTTGGGCCAGCTCCTCAGGAAGCCCAGACACCAACGAGGATGGAAGTGCTCAGAAATAAGTGTCTTACTCAAGTTTTCCAGTAGCACTGATCACCTTAGGTCAAATACAGGGCCTTCAACACAGGCTCCCTTCTCTTCTGCATTTTTCTTGGATATCTTCTGTCGTTTTCCCTGGGATGTGGCACAGACACCACGGTCAGAGTTTGCTTTTGAGCGGCGGTGACCGCGTGTTGTCCTGTGCCGTGGCTGCGTGAGCTGCCAGCAGGTGAGCTGGGAGGCCTCCAGGCTCACGCTCCAACTCCTTGTCATCACGCCCTTGTGTGTTGCAGACCTGCAGAACTGCGAGGACGGCTGGACCAAGTTCCAGGGCCACTGCTACCGGCACTTCGAGGAGAGGGAGACGTGGATGGACGCGGAGACCAGGTGCCGAGAACATCAAGCCCACCTGAGCAGCATCATCACCCCGGAGGAGCAGGAATTTGTGAACAGTGAGTGCTGGGGGGCACGTGGGGGACCTGCAGCGAGATGTGGGGAGCCACCACCCACTCTTCTCTCCCCGTCTGGTTTTTGCAGGCCATGCACAGGACTACCAGTGGATCGGGCTCAGCGACAGAGCCGTGGAGAACGATTTCCGCTGGTCCGACGGGCACTCGCTGGTGAGTCCCTGGGGAGAGCCAGGGGGCACAGGAGTGGGGTTCCCCTGCTGGTTCCAAGCCTCTCATGAGACAGAGCCACAGGCTGGGCCCCACGGTGGTAGAAATAATTGGGCAGCCCGTGGTTTCTCCGGATAAGAGGCAGGAGACACAAAGGAGGGAAGGAGAGGTAGTGGGAGGAAAGGGAGAAAAGGCCCCAGGTGAAAGGCTTTCCTCTCCCCCCAGCAATTTGAGAACTGGCGGCCCAACCAACCCGATAACTTCTTCTCCGCGGGTGAGGACTGCGTTGTGATGATCTGGCACGAGCAAGGCGAATGGAACGACGTCCCCTGCAACTACCACCTGCCCTTCACGTGCAAGAAAGGAACAGGTGAGCTCCTGCACCAGCAAGGAGGGGGGCTCAGGGAGCAGCTGTGGGGCCAGGGCACGAGGGCAGCACTGGGAGCACCCAGAGCATGTGAATGGGAACCCGTGGGTCAGCTCCGATGGGGTTTTCCTCCCAGGAGGCTTCATTTCTGCACATGAAAATCAATGCAAAGAGGAACGTAACATGGGTTTGTCACTGCAAGGGGTGTTCAAAAAGGTGGAAGGAATTGGCGTTAGGATTTGACCTTGATCAAGCCTCTAGGAGAAAGATTCCTGAGGTCTTGAAAATGGGTAACACAAGCCAGCAGGAGCCAGGGCCTCACGTCCCCAGGCAGGGCTGTACCCTGATGGCAGCATCGCTCCTGCACGCCAGCCCCATGCCCTGCCAGGGAAGCTCTCACTGTGAGCCAGCCTCTCCAGTGAAGTTTTCATGAACTTTTTAGCAACATTCCCCTTTTTTGAATCACCTCCCTCTGCTTCTCCCCAAAACAAATGATCCCCCCACTGTCAGCTGCTTCTCTAGCCCCGGGGCTCAAGCGATGAGCCAGAAACCTTTTGGATCCCTCCATCTCTCCCTGTCTTTGCCCGTCTCCCACAGTTGCCTGTGGGGATCCCCCCGTGGTGGAGAACGCCAGGACCTTCGGCCGGAGGAAGGACCGCTACGAAATCAACTCCCTGGTGCGGTACCAGTGCGACCAGGGCTACATCCAGCGCCACGTGCCCACCATCCGCTGCCAGCCCAACGGGCAGTGGGAGGAGCCGCGGATATCCTGCATAAACCGTACGTCCCGGCCACCCCAGTCCCCACGGCCCCGTCCCGTGGGGTGCCTTTGACCGAATCTTTTCCCCGCCCCCCGCAGCCACCCTTTGGGGATGGGGAGGATTGGGGCTGATGCTGGGGTGGCACCGCCGTGGGGTCAGGGTAGCTCCGAGCCAAAGGGATGCCCTGGTCCCTTGTTTTGCTGGAGGTTTTCCCAAGATGGGGCTGTAGGAAGGGGAAAAAAGGAGCTTAATAAGAGCTACTTGAAGAAAGGGAAGAAAAAGGAACGCTCCTGCAGTGTGAGCTCAGCCATCAGCAGAGGACAGGAGCGGGGCGCGGTGCCCGGGGTCCCCCCATCCCGGCACACCTCCAAGGGGCCAGGAGCCCAGCGGCAGAGCCCCGAGGGACGGGGCTGGGCTCCTCACCCCTCTCCTCTCGGCCCTCCAGCCCTCTCCACGAGGCGTCCCAGCCCATCCCCAGGCTGCCTACACCCCGCTCCCATCCCTGCTCGCAGCTTCCCAACAATGTCATCGCCCTCAGCCAAATCACATCCGTCAAGTGTCAGCCCAGCTGCTGCTCCGGCTGCAGGCCCGGGGCGGAGGGGACAAAGCTCCAGGCAGGGAGGAGAAGGAGAGCAGGGGCAGGAGGCAGCGGGGCAGCCCTGGCTCAACGCACCAGGGCAGGGGGCTCAGGCTGCTCCCATTTTTCAAACCTCCTGCAGTTATTGCAGAAGGGTCGGCGGTGTGAGGCTGCCTCCAGGACACCCTGCTCACCCTTCTTTCCCCAAGGATTTCATCCTGCAGGGCACACGCAGTGTCTGTGCCACCAACAAGGTGTCTTTTCTCCCCCCGCAGCCTCCAGCTACCAGCGCAGGCTATACAAGAGGAGCCCCCGGAGCCGGTCGAGACCCAGCGGCAGCGCCGTGCACAGACCCACCCATTAGAGAGGGGCGAGAGACACCGAGGGGCAAACAGAGAGAGAAAGAGATTTTTACAGAACAGTTATATTAACAGAGTCGATTTCTTCTTCTTCTTGTTGCTTTTTGTCATATAAGGAAAAAAAAAAATTATATTAAAGACAAACCCACCTTTGTGTATATATATAAAAGAAAAAAAAAAATAATTAATGTTTTTCCAAGCACCAAAGCAAAGCGAATTAGAAGTCAGCCTTTTTACTAACCGTCCGGTTCCAATTATCTTCGTGCCTTCGGGGACAGGGAGGGGGGTGGGTTTGCAGAGGGCAGGGGGTTAAGTTAAATAATAAAGATGATTATTTTTTTCCTGATTTTATCCACGAACAATGTAATTATTCCTGTTATTTAATCTCCGGGGTGGACAGCACCTTTTGGGGTTAATTTTATTTTTAATTTTGTTCTTTTTTTTTTTTTTTTGGTTTGTTGTTTTTTGTTTTTTTTTTTTTCCAGAATCCTCCTACTGCTGCGGCGCGTCGGGGCGGGTGGGGAGATGGGCAGTGAATGTACCGGGGGGGCCGGGGGCTGCGGTGAGGGGGAGCCGGGGGGGGATGCTGAGACCTGGGGGTCCCGGCCCCGCTCTGCTTCCCCGCCGCCGCCCCAGGGCGCAGCGCCCACCCCGGGACGCCGTGCTCTTTCCAGGGGACCGTGCGGGGCACCAGCGTTCCCTGCACCTATTTATATTTTTGAACATATCCTATTTTGAAAGAATGATAAATAATAAAGAGAGCCAAATCCGAAAGGGTTGTGTGGTGTTGTGTTTTTTTTTGGGGTGGAAAGAGGGTGGCGGGGGGGGCTGGTGGAGGGTTTTCCGTGGGAATGGAGGGAGCCCAGATAGGTTGCATGGAGGTGCACTTGTGGGGACAAGGGAGAAGTGTAGGAGGACCCCAAAATGTAGGACACCGCTCCCCAAATTTGTCTTGGAAGGGGCTGGGGCAGGAGGAGCTGCCCAGGAGGGGTCAACCCCATCCACACCCCACAGCTAAAACCCAACACCAAGAAATCCCACTGCCAGCAGATGCTCACCCTCTGCCCTCCAGGCCCAGCTCCTGGGGGTTAATTAGCACTCGTTAGGAGGGGATGCCCCCCAGGAGGTGATGGTGAGGAGGGAGAGGCATGCATGGCCCCGGGAGCACCCCGGGGGTCCTGTCGGGGACCCCCACATCCTCCCTCCAGGCTAGGGACACAGCCACACCACTCCGGGGCTTTCTCCCTCGTTTATTAGAAGAGCTCCAGGAAAATACATCTTTTCGTAACAAAACGCTCGAAGAAGAAGGCACCAGAGTTCACATGGAGTCCGGGCGCGGGGCGCACCGAGGTAAGGCACTGGGGCCCCCACGGGGACGGGCACAGCAGCACCCCGCAGGGGGACGGGGACGAGGACAGGGATGCAGCAGAGGCACCCGCTCTGTGCCTCGGGTCCCCTGCAGCCGGGGTGGCAGGGGACAAGGGGACAGAAACGTGGCAGGGGACACGGGGGCAGAAACAGCCCGGGGCCGGCAGGGTGGCCGGCGTGGGCGAGGGGCTGCCCCGGCCCCGAGCAGCAGCCCCACGCTGTACGTGGAGCAAGGAGCCCGGCTGCGTTGAGAAAGTGTAAAATGTAAAGGAAGGAAAAAATTAAAATTAAAAAAAAAAAAAAATCAAACAAAATAAGCCTCCCCCCGCCCCGCCTCCCCCCACAATCACCCCCAGAACAGCCCTTGGGAAACACCCAGTGCTGGGCACCGTTGGGCTGGGAGCATCCTCAGGCTGAGAAGGAGAATCCCGGCTCCTTATCTCTCCTTGTAGCAGAAAACCCCGAACCTGCCCTTGCTGGGGAAGCCGAAGCTGCGGACGCCGGGCTCGGGGGGGCCGCAGTTGGCTCGGGGCTTGGCGATGGGGTAGCGCACGCTGCCGTCCGCCAGCCAGCCGGCGTCGCAGCGATCCAGCCCCAAAAACTTCCAGGCGGAGTAGAGGTGTCCCACCCTGGCGATCTCAGCTCCTGCGTCCTGGCACGCCTGCTTGGCTTCCTCCAGCGTCAGCCCGGCCGGGGGCTCCAGGTAGAAAATCTCTCCTAGGAGGGATGGAAGAAATCAGGGGGGGAGCCCCCCGGTGCCGAGCATCGCCTGGAGCATCCCCGCTGGGCTGCGAGCCCCACACCCCAAGGGGCAGGGAGGATGCGGGACGCCACCAGCGGGGCTCCAGATGCCACCAGCGGGGCCGTGCCCCCTCCCCAGCCCCCCTGCCCCGTGCCCAGCACCCACCTCTGAGCGCGGAGGAGAAGCAGAAGACGTCGAAGTGGTGCAGGTGCCGGTGGCGGGGGCCGTAGCTGCGGATGCCCGGGGCGAGGTGCAGCCCTCCGCAGGGTTTGCGGGGCAGGCGGATGGGGTAGTGCACGGTGCCGTCGGCCAGCCAGCCCGCGTTGCACCAGTCCAAACCCTCGCTCCAGGCCTGGAAGAGCTGGCTGAAGGTGGCGATGAGGGCGCCCTGCTCCCGGCACGCTCGCTCGGCCTCGTGGAAGTTGAGGCGGTACTGCCCGCGGGGAGGCTGGTAGGGGAACACCACGCCTGGGGGGCAGACGGGGCACTCAGATGACACCATCCGGAGCCCGCACGGGTCCCCAGATCCATCCCAAACCCACGCTGCGGGGCAGGGAGCACCCCAGGGTGCAGCACCCCAGGGTGCAGCAGCCCCAGGCTGAGGAGAGGCTGCGCTGGGCACGCGGCCACCAGCAGCGAGATGCCAGCGACATCTGGTGGCACTGGGACAGCTGGTGGCTGCGTCCTGGGGACACACACACCTCCCTCCTGGGGATGCTCAGACAATAATAGGGCTGCCAGGACACACGGACCCAGGGACACACGGACAGGGCTCCCAGGGGGACACGGCACCACCACGGGGACAGCTGGCCAACGGGAACCCCCAAACCTCCACCTGGAGAGCTCTGAGCCCCGAGGATCACCCCGCACACCCCAGCCCCTTTCTGCCCAACGGGGCCGGCTGGGCTCTGCCCCCACAAACACCCCGCTGCCCCGCAGGGGTCCCCACCTTGCAGCCGGAGGTCCACCACGTCGCTCTCGTCCTCCAGCCCGTCGATGACCTCGCAGCGGTATTTGCCGTCGTCCTGCAGGCGCACGTCGCTGACGAGCAGCGAGGCCTCGTGCCGGCCGCCCTGCTGGAGGTGGGCACGGCCTCGGAAGTCCCCGAAGGCCATGTAGGTCTTGCCGATGGCCACCAGCACGTCCTGCTCCTTGGTGTAGTCATCCCGCAGCTTGGACCACTTGATGCGGATCTTGCGCTTGCCCTCCTGCTGGGGCTCGAAGCGGTAGCGGCAGGGCAGGGTGGCGTTGGCGCCGCTCAGGCTGTAAACGGGGTCTCGGGGGGTCTCCACCACCAGCCTTGCCCCGTTGAAGTAATCCACTGGAGACGGGGAGGGAAGATGTCACCCCCTCTCCCCCCAGCCACCTCTGAGCATCCCCAAGCACCCCCAGTGCGCCTCCAGCCCCACGCACCCCTCAAGCTGTGGGTCCCGACCCCATCCTAAAGGCTTTGGGGGCAGCCCGGCCCCCGCTGTACCTTTCTCGTGCCCGTTGCCCTTGTCGTTCATGACGTGGTTGTAGTAGAAGCCGTTGTAGAAGGGGTGGTGGGAGCCGCCGGCCAGCTGCAGCAGGGTGGCCTCGAGGAGCAGCGGGAGCAGCAGCATGGCCGGGAGCGGGGCTGGACCCTGAGCAGAGAGGGATAGGGCTGGGGCAGGACCCTCAGGGCGTCCCCCAAACTGGGAGCACTGGGAACACTCCCCTGGGGCGTGCGGGGAGCACGGTGGCCGAGCTCAGCGTGCAGAGGCAGCGGGGCGTGCAGCAGGGCAGGGGAGGAGAGCTCGGGGCCGCCCGGCTCCGTGTGGGGCCGGGGCAGCAGGGGCAGCCCCCAGCCTGGCCGCAGACCCCCAGCTCCCCCCAAAAACCGGGTGCCACCCCCCAGCCCAGCCACAGCAGAGGCTGTCCCCATACAGCGAGCTGAGCGCACACCACGCCCCATAGGACGAGCCCGGCTGCCCCACGGCACCGCGGACCCATTTGTGGGGTCTGCGCCCCCAGCCCTGACCCCACGGGCACCCAAGGGTGCCCAGCGCGGTGCCCCCCCCCCCAGGACGGGCACATCGCTACCTGCCGGCCTGCAGCCCTGCCCCAGAGCCGGCAGGGGGGGCACGGCACCCGGCCAGCCTGCGCAGCCCCCCTGCAAAGCGGGCAGGGATGCGCCACCCGTGTCCCGCTCCGGATAAGGTTTAGGATCACTAAGGGTGCCCCAAACTGCGGGCAGGGGGTGCCGGCTGGCACCGCGGGGACCGGGCTGGGGACAGCGGGGACATCCAGCAGGCAGCCGGGGCTGGGACCCGCAGCCCCCTGCTCCCAGCGTGGGGTGCCCGACCCCGAGCTCTCCTCCTCGCCAGGTGCCACCGCTCTGTGGGTGCAGCCCATGATCAGCCAACCCCAAAACTCCATCCCTGGGTGCTTGGTGACCTCAGGACGGAGGCAGCGGGCTGGGTGCGGGTGCTGGCGGTGAGGTGGGTGCGAGCCGGGTGCCGGGGCGCTGCTCGAGGCACCGTGGCCCTGCGCAAGGCACCGTGTGCCGGCGGGGCGGCGGCACGGGCTCGAGGCACCGGCAGCCTCACACCTCGGGATGGGGACTCCAGCCCTCACCCCGCTGCGTCCCAAAGCTCCTCGCCACCCACAAGGCGATGGTGGCAATGGGGACGTGGCGGAGAGCTGGTGTCCTCCACCGTGGTGATGCCCGGCACCCTCCGTGGTGATGCCCAGCGGTCCCATAACGATGCCCAGTGATCCCACAGTGATGCCCAGTGATCCCATAACGATGCCCAGTGATCCCACAGCGATGCCCAGCCCTCCCAGCCCTCCGTCCCCGCTGGGTGCCGCACCCCGGGGTGCCAACCCACCCCGCGCCCGTCCCCGGGACCGAGCCCTACTCACGCCGGGCAGCAGCGGCAGGCAGCGGGCAGGCTGCGGGCGGTGCGGTGTGTTTGGGGCTCTTGCAAAGGCTGAGAGGAAGCAGCTCCAGGGCCTGCCTCTTAAAGGGAAACACGCCTCTCCCAACCCCCTGCTCGCGGCCCGGAGCAGGGGTGGGTGCCCCGAGCCCCCCGCCCGCCCTCCAGCCCCAGCCGGAGCCGTGCGCCCTTCCCCGGGCTGTGCCCTCGCCACGCACCCGGCTGGGAACGGGACGGCGTCGCCCCGGCTTGTCGGGGGGAGCCGAGGGGAATGGGGTACCCCGTCGGGGATGCTGAGATGAGGGGGTGAGCCCCTCAAAGTCCTGCTCCAAGATGGGTGCTTGGAGAGGAGTTGTCCCGCTGGGGACAGGAGTTGTCCATGGGGACCGAGCATGGGCAGCGGCGGTGCCAAGCGAGCACGTTGTGAGAGCACCACGAGCACCACGAGTACATTTTCGGAGCACCACAAGCACATCATGCAAGCAACGAGCAGCTCTGGGGGTGTCTGTGCTCTGGGGTCAAGAGCAGGCACCGAGCCACGAGGCTCGGCCCCATCAGGGCTCAGCCTGGGGCCGGGTGGGCAAAGCGGAGCTGGGAGAGCGCGGCTCAGGGAGGGCTCTGCACCGGGGCACAGAAACGGGGCCAAAACTTTTGGGCAGCCCATCTGCTGGGGCATCTCCAGCCACGGCACACAACCCCAGCTCCTTCCAGCTCCGGGGCTGCCATCCCTGGGAGCACAGCAGCAGCAGCGTGTGGCCTGACCCGCTGCCCCGCCGGCCCGGCCCGGCGCTGCGCTTTGTTGTTTTACGGCGAGGAAATGAGGCTCAGGGGCCCGGGCCCTGCTCCTGCCGCCGCTCAGGACGGCGTCAAACCGGAAAGAAAACAAGGCATGCGAAAATAAATGGGAAACCCCATCCTGGCGGCCCCGGGGCCCGAGCCCGTCTGGCACCGGTGGCGCGCTGATAGGGAGCGGCGGCGGCCGGGACGCGGCGTTATCTGCCACCAGCCCCGACCCCCTTGGGAAGCGTGGTTGGGACTGCCAGGGGACACGGGGTCTCACGGCTCTGCCTCTCTAATCACAAAGAAATAAGAGATTAAATCCAACCCCCAAAAAATGGGATGGGCTGCATTTGGGGGGCCCCCACCGAGCAGCTCTGGCTGGACGCAGAGGCCATCGCGGGTATTTTGGGGACGCCAAGCCCCAAGCTGGCTGTGATCGTAGACATCCTGCCCCCAGCACTGCCACGGGGCCACAACCCATGGCACTGCCAGCTCGCTTTTGGCGAGGGACAGCCCGGCGTGCCGCCCGCCCTGCCGGCCGGAGCGTGCTGCCCCACAGCCCACAATGGGGGCGATTACATCTCCCGGCACGGCGGCTCCACGCTGTGCCCCCCCCACAGCCCAGCCTGTGTCTGATCTGATCTGATCTGATCGGGGACGGTCCCCTCCCCGCTGGGGCACGCTGCTCCTTGGCGCGGCCGCCCCATTGTTTGGGAGAGGAGGAGAAAGCTGCAGGGTGCCCGAAATGCCCCACAACGAGCCGTCCCTCCGCACGGCCCCAGGAGAATCGTTTGGTGAATCCCCTCTGCTCCTGCCCTCCTCTCACCCTATTTTCAGTGCATAGGGGATGCTCCCAGCCCTGCTTTCTGCTGGGGCTTTGGGTTGAGCTCCCCGAGGGCGGCCGTGGGCTGTGGGGTGAGCGGCGCTGTGTGGGGTCAGGGCAGAGCCGACCCTGCAGCATGTGGGACGGGCACGTGCTTGGGGCTGGCCGAGCCCCACGGGTTGAACGGGAGCCATAAAAATGTCATCCCCAGCTCCCCCACCTCAAAGCCAGGGGCTGACAGTTTGGGGATTTCCCCCCAAAACGCCGCCTGCACGGGACCCATCTCAGCTCCTGCTGGCAGCCCCGGCAGGGACCTGGTGCTGAAGGCTCCAAGTGGGGAGGAAAACCCGCAGCAGGACGGAGGAGGCTGCGATCGGCGCTGGGCTTTCCGGGCAGGGAGGAGAGGAGAGCAGAGGATGCTCTCCCCTGCGGCTGCTTCCTGCCCACCAGGCAGCTGGCAGCACCGGCAGCGGGGTCAGCAGGCAGCGGGGTGCCGCGGCTGCAGCGTGCCGGCCTTCCTGCCTCCGGGAACAGCATCCGAGGGATGGGGACAAGCCGCAGGAGGCTTCTCGTGGTGAGCGGGGTGCCCCAGCCCTCCTCACCCTCTTCAAAGGCAGCCCGGTGCTCTGCGGGAGGAAGGAAGCGGCGCGGGGCTGGGAAGGGGCTCGGCATCCCACAGCGGGGTGGGGGTGGCAGGGGACAGCGGTGACGGGGTGTGGGGGACGCGTCCCCTGCTCTGAGGGGTGGCTTCGGCTCGCTTCGTCCTCCCCGCACAGCCTCCCCCAGCTGTCTGGGCCTGCCTGGGAGCAGGCTGCCCTTATCTCTGCCGCAGCTTCCCGGCGATAAGGGGGGCACGGCTGGATGGGAGCAGAGCTCAGCATGTCCCCCCCCCAGCTCCGGTTTGTCACCGAGCAGCCAGGGCTGCGGGGAGCTCAGGAGCTGCGGGGACACGGGTGGCACCGGGGCCATTTGTGCCAGCCTTGGGGTCCCTTCCCAGCGGGGCAGAAACCCCTGGAAGGGAGCACAGCTGCTCCACCCCAACACCCCGCTGCCTCCCCCCATGGGCCCAGGGTCCCCATCCAGCAGCCTCCACCCCGCACTCCCCGGGAGCTCGGCCGGCCGCAGCCCCGGCCAAAGCTCTCGCTCCACCTTGGGGGATTTGCTCCAGGAGCAGAGCCAAAGGAGGACGGGCAGGGTGTGGGGTGCTGAGAGCCGCTTCCCCTCCCCATGTCCCATCCCATCCCATCCCGTTACGCTGGGCCAGCTGCGAGCACCGGGCTGCAGCAGCCGGGAGGGGTGGGGGCCGTGGGAAGGATGCGCGCAGCCCGGGCACCCCGGGGCCCCTCCGCCTTCCCTGCAGCCGTATGGCAGAGCAGCGAGCACACGGCCTGAAGTTTCAGCTGGTTTTAATACTGTCAGTGACACCCCAGCAGGGCCACCCCCAGACCAGCCAGGTCCCCTCGGTGCTTTCCACGCCAGCCCGGCCCCGCGGCCACTTCCCCTCCCAGCACACGGGGACGGCGTCGCCACCGGTGCTGCCCACGGGGACACGGTCCCAAGGTGCCCCCCAGCCCCCAGCCACGCTCCTGCCTGGCAGTGCCAGCCCTCGCCTCTCTCCTACTGCCATTCCCGGCTGCTCCGGCATCGAGAGGCTCCCCGCCAGCACACGAAGGGAAAAATCAGGTTATAAAAAGGGTCAGGGATGGGGCTGTCTGCCCGCTGCACTCGGGTTGTTCAGCCAGCGCCTGCTGCTGCTCCTCCTGGCACCCCCTGGCCACAGCCCAGCTCCTCGACCCACTGCAGAGGGCAGCCACCGCCTGGCTCTGGGGGCGAGGGACCTGCAGCCCCCCCAGTAAGAGGGGACGGTGGCACTGCTGAAGGTTTGGAGGAGGCTGGTGCTGGCACCCTGGGACCACGATCAAAGGGGAGAGAAAATTCCCAAGACTTTCCCCCGTTAGGAGGGCTGGGTGCCCTCACCACCTGCACACCCCTGGGTTTGCTCCCTTGGGGAAAAAAAACAGCCTCACTGGGGGGCCGGGGAGGGCTCTCAGCTGCCAAAAAGCCAGACCTGGGGGCAGAGCTGCCGGCGAAGGAGACGCGGCACTTTGTGATAGGAGCAGCCTCTCCCCCCTCTCATCACTCCCCTCGCACTATGCGGCACTGACACCACCCGCAAGGGGACTCGGGGCCTTGCAAAAGGGACAGGGGACCCAGCTGAGGGGTTGCAGCCCCTGCGTGCAGCTGTGCAGGGAGCAGGAGGGGCGGCGGGGGCTGGTTTGGGTCCCTCCAAAAACAGCCAAGCCCTGAGCTCTGGCACGGCGCTGCTGCTGGCTGGAGCCTCGCTGCTGGAAGCAGAAGCAAAAAGGGGCAGAGAAGTTGGCTCCAGGGTTGGCGGGGGTCCTACAGCCAAGCCCTGGTCGCAGAAGGGGCCCTCGTTCCCAGCTCACGGGGCAAAAGAGCAGGGCCCATCCCCACGTCCCACCCGCGACAGCCCCGTAAAGTGCAGTGCCGCAGCCCCAGCCCCATCCAGCCGGGGCAGAAAGGCAGCGCCTCCGAATTTGGGGGAAGGAGGGGGAGAGGGAGGCTTGAGGTTTGGAGCGGGAGGTGCGCGGGGGCGGGCAGGGCAGGGCAGCCCCCTCTGGTTGCTCTGCCCCGGCCCCTACTCGTCGCAGCCCAGCAGCTCGAGGCGCAGCGTGATGCGGTTGTGCCAGGCCACGGGCAGGACGCGCACGAAGCGGGCGTAGAAGGGCACGTCGAAGACGTTCTTCTTGTGCGAGTAGTTGTCGCTGTTGCCGTGGAAGATCTGGGAGGGGGAAAAGGTGGAGGTGAGCACCCCGTTACCAGCCTGAACCTCCCCCGTGCCACCCCGGCCCACCCCGAGGTGTCCCCGAACCCCCGGAGCTCGCCGCCCCTCACCTTGGTGCTGTTGGTCTGGCTGTCCCGGTACAGGGTCCAGGAGGTGCCGTTGTCACTGTAGGCCACTTTGTAGGCTGCCACGTACTGGATGTGGCCGAAGTCACGGGCGCCTTGTGTGATGATGCCCGTCACCTTCTTGGGGTCCCCGAGGTCGATCTGGCACAGAGAGGTTGGGTTGGGTTGGGTCGGGCACCCCAGCGGGGTTGGCACAGCCCTGCCGGGGCAGCAGCGCTCCCACCCAGGACATCCCACACATCCTGGGGGTCCAGAGCACAGAGAGCACCACTCAACCCCTTCCCCGGTGGCAGAGCAGCTCAGAAAACGCTGTGGTGACATAGCTGAGCCCCCTCCGCACCGTTTGCTGAAAAGGTCGGGGTGGGAAGGATGGCAAAGCTCTCCAGGCAAAAAAAATAAAATAAAATAAAATAAAATAAAGAAGCCCCGGTGGAGATGAATTTCCAGCAGAAGGAGATTCTGGCTGGGGAAACACGCAGCTCGCTGCGGTCTGACATTTGGGCTGAGCGAGATGGTTCCTGGTTGGCACAGCAAGGGGCAACGCAGCTAACGAGCTGACAGCCTCCTGAATTGAGCTCCTATTTTGTGTTCCTTCAGGCAGTACCAGCCATACGTACCTGCGTATTTATACATGAGTGTAGATGTAAATCTGCACGTACACAAACGCCCAGCCGTCAGCGTGGCAGCCCAAGGCTGCGTGTCACCGCGACCCCATCAGGAGGCATCCCCACCAGCTGCTTGATTTAGGGCCGAGGAGCAGCTGCTTTTAATCATTTCCCAAATAAAAGCAAAAATGGGACAAATATCTAAACTGCTCTGTCCTATTATGTCACGGAATCATGTGAGGAGTATAAAAACAGCGGAGGAGAGGAAACCGAGAAGGAAATTTCAAAACTATTTGTTCCCATTCCAGGCTGGGAATGGAAACGCAGACCTGAGCTGTCCTGCGCAACGGAAGGGAGGAGGAGCTGGGGCTGAGGAGCCGGGGTCCGCAGGGGGGTCAGGGCCCTGGGGGGGTTATTTTGGCCCCCCCCCCAGCCCCGGGGCAGAGGCTGGGGCAGGCAGACCCACCTGCAGCCACTCAGCCTGCCCGTTGTGCAGCGCCGTCCAGGCGTTGGTCTTGCCCGTCTTGTCCAGGCGGGCGTAGTGGGGGTGCCAGGTGAAGGCGTCGATCCCCCACGTCTTGAAGACGCTGGAGGCTGTGATCTGCTGGTCAGAGATCTGGTGGGATTTCATGCCCAGAGGCTCCGAGCAACCTGCCGTGTTGAAATACACTGTAACACAACGGTTTATGCAGGCGGTGAGAGGGAAAGAGTCCAAAGCACCACCAGCATCCCCACCGCAGCCGGCAGAGCCCCCCGGGGCCGGCGGGCACATCCCGGAGACATGGAGAGCAGAGTTGGGCACGGGACGGCACCGGGGACACGGGACAGCACCAGGGACACGGGACGGCACCAGGGACATGGGACGGCACCGGGGAGGTGCAGGGCTTGCAGCTCGCCCACGCTCCCGGCCGCAGCCAGGACGGTATTTTCGGTGCCGAGCCATTCCCTGCCTCACAGTGCCTCCTGCTGCAGGGATGTGTGGACAGCCCCGCAGCACAGCGCGGCACGAGGAAGGCTCAGCGCTGAGTTCACAGCTGGCACCGCAGCTGGGTAGGGGCAGGATGCGGCCCCAGCCCCGCTTGGGGCTGTGCCAGGCACTGCCAAGGACGTGCAGCAGGGCAGGAATGCGGGGAGGAGAAGGGAAAGCCGAGGGCTCCGGCTAATCATCAGTCACGTTTCCCACAGGACTTTGATCTTCGGGAGCTTTTCAAGCTCTCCGGCAGGAAAAGCAGCCGGGTCAGGGATTGGATGGGGAACAATAAAAAAAGAAAAAAAAAATGAGCCGTGAGCTGGGACAGCTTGGGAAGGTGTTAGCAGCGTGAGAACGCAGCTCTGCCCGGCTGAGCTGATGGGATTAACAGCCCGCGCTCCCAAAAAGCTCCCGTGGGGATTTCCAGGCATCACGAGACAGCAGGAGAAAAACAAGCGCTGGCTGGCCAAGTAGGGATGAGGACGGGTACGAGGGGGGACGCCCTGTCCTACGTCCCCTACAGCGACCACAGGGTCAGCCTGGCGAGGCGAGACGTCAGCAGTGGGTCCAGACTGACACCCCCCAGCCAGCCCCGTGGTCCATGGGGAGGGGACAGCCCCAGCCCAGCACCCGGAGCCCAGGCAGAGCCCCCTCCCCACGGCTCAGGGCAGGAATTTACCGTTCATCTCGCAGCCGATGAGCTCGAAGCGCAGCGTGCAGGCGCGGCGGCACACCACGGGGTAGATGCGGATGAACTGGGCCGTGATGGGAGGGTCCAGCAGGTTGGTCTGCATGGTGCCATAATCCACGTTCCCCTGGAAAACCTGGAAAAAAGCAGGCGGAGGTGGGCACCCCAGCACCCCCCTAAAAGCCCTTGCCCGCCAGACGGACAGACCTCGGCATCTGTCCCCGTGAACCAGGAGAACTCGAGCGGTTCGATCGTGCCCCGAGGAGCGCAGGGGTTGGCAGCAGCCCCAGTGCTCTCAGCACTGCCACGTGATGCCCCGTGCTTCGTGCGCACGGAGCTGCCCCCGCTCCCTGCAGCTGCACTCCCCAAATCACCGCATCTGCCCCACAAGCAGAGGGGCGGCATGCTGTCGGGTCACGCTTCCACGCTTTTTTTTTTTTTTCCAGCACTGTGCAGATGAGATAAACTTTGCTTTGTTGAAAGCGAGGCAGATATTCCCAGCCTGTCCCTGGGTGCACAAAAAAAATAAAACAACCAGGAGGCATTTCCCCTAAAAAAGGGGCTGCACTCAGTGCCTCCAGACCGAGATACGCGGTGGGCTCACGCTCAGCCCAGAGCCACGCAAGTTATTTGCTGGCACTTCCAGGCTGTGCCCACATCCTCTGGAGCACGTTAACTACAGAGATGTTATCTGAATGACCTGAATAAATCACCCCTGCTTCTTCGGGCGTGCTCATTATGGTCAATTAAAGAGCTGGAGAGCACTCCTGACCCTCTGGGGTCCCCGACGTGGCTCTGACCCGGGGCAGAAGCACTCCCCCGAGCTCAGGACGGGGCACACAGCCCCACCGCTCAGCCCACCTTGTCCGTGTCCTGCTTCTCGTCCTTGCAGAAGGTGAACTCCCTGCCGTCCAGGCTGTAGGCCACTTTGTAGGCGCGGATGTACTCCGACTTGCCCACGCGGCGAGCGCCCTGCGTGACGATGCCGCTCAGCCTCATCTTCCTCAGCAGGTTGGCCTGGAGGGGCAGCAAGAGGGTGAATACAGCGGGGTGTGAGAGTTCTGCCCCCACGGCACCACCCAGAAACACCTGGGCACCGCAGTTTTCTTGGTGCTAAAGCCCTGCATCCCCTGGGCCAGGTGTGGGCAGAGGAGGGGACGTCACCACACCGGGTGCCCATGCGGTGTCCCGGGTGGCACCGTGCTCAACCCCAGCAGCTGACGGGGCTGCTCGCCGCTCCCCCCACGGGTACCTGGATCCAGGGGCTCTTGTCATAGTTGCTGGAGGTCCAGGCGTTGACGATGCCGTGGTTGTTGAGGCGGGCGAGCTCCGGCCCCCAGCGCTGGAGGCCGAGGAAGCCGTAGTGCACGGAGGAGGCTGAGAGCTGCGCGTCAGAGATGGCTCCTCCTTCCATGCCCAGGGGAACGGCGCAGCCTGGGGGCACGGAGAGGGGCCATACGTGACCAGGCAGCAGAACCAGGGGCTCGTCTGCCTCCTGTCTGGGGACAAGGGATGCCGGGGACTTACGGACGTGGCAGGACCTCCCGAAGAAGGGAGAAGGGCACTTGCAGGTGTAGTCACCATCCAGGTCCAGGCAGGTGCCTCCGTTTTTGCAGGGCTGGGAGGAACACTCGTTCTTGTCTAGGACAGAGGAGAAGAGGCTCAGGAGGTGACCCCAAAACCAGCCCCAGGAAGAAAAGAGAGAGGTATCTGCAGAGCGAGGCTCCCGCAGACCTGCTGGCACAGGCTGGAGCTCTCCTCCAAGCCGTGTCCCTGCTGAGCTTTGGGGCAGCCCCCGGCACATCGCCGGGGTCACCACGGCCCCCTGGGAGCAGGTCCAGGGGTGCCTGAGCTGCCACCTCCAGCCCCCCCGGCCCCCAGCCTGCTGTACTCACTGTTCTGGCAGTGCACCCCGTCGTACCCCGCGGGGCACTTGCAGATGTAGTCGGTGAAGACGTCCCCTCGGTTTGGGACCAACTGGCACTCGCCGTTGTTGTGGCAAGGGTTAGGGTGGCAGGGGCCTGGGGAAGGGGAAAGGAGGTAAAAAGGGATGTTATATGGACACAGGGGGGGAAATAAGAGCATCCTCTGTGTTTTCCCAGCCAGAGGATGCAACAGGGCTGGAGGCACAGGGCCACGAGGAGGGCACGGTGCCAGGCTCCTGCGGGTGCCTGGTCCCCTGCACCTCACAGAGCCCCTGCGACGGGGACTCGGGTCCCTCCCTGAGCCCCACCTTTCTCTGTCTCGTTGCAGTCGATCCCCACAAAGCCTTCAGGGCAGATGCAGAAGAAGGGGGCCTCGTTGATGCCGGTCAGGCAGGTGCCCCCGTTCTGACAGTGGTTGACGTTGCAGAAGTCACCTGCCAGCAAAGCCACATGTCACCACGAGCAACAAAGCGCACGGAAAAAAAGTGGTTGGACAGAGCCCGAAGGTCAGCCCAGCGCCCAGAGAATGGGGCTGGTCACCCTGCTGGGCTTTGCTAACCAAAGTTAAGTATTTACAAACAAAAAAAATGATCGTAGGGGGAGCCACGTGCCTGAGCTCACAGCCGCTGGAGACTGGAGAGGAGGAAGCGCAGGGTGCCGCACGGCCTCGGGGAAATTCCTCCCACCCCCAATTTACCCTGCCCAAACAGCTGTGGGGTGGCAACGCTCTCCATAAACCTTGACGGGATTCCCACGGACCTGCCTGAAAACCTTGAGAGCCTCAAGCCAAGCACAGGAACTTTTTCAAGTGTGGCACGTTGCTCGGTGCCACGCTCGAGCCGGAGCGAAGCTGGAACCCAGGCAGAGACCCAGCAGTAACCCCCACTGCCTGTGTGCCCTGGAGAAGGTGGAAGGTGCCGAGCCGTGGGCTTGCTGCCTGGACCCACACCAAGCAGCAAGGCTCTCATTAGCCTAAGCTACTACTCAGCGAGCTCCTACTCATTAGCCTTTTAATAGCAGGGCTGCTCCGGGGTAATCCTATTCTTCCCCATGCTCAGCGACTGCAGGGGAGGCAGCAGCAGCAGCAGGCAGGCCAGGCAAGGCCCGGCGTCCCACGAGGGTTTCCAAAAAGATGCTGGAGCTCCCTTAGCCTCCCTCGGGAGGCAGAAAACCTCGGGCACCGGTTCAAGGTGCTGCCCAGCCAGCTCTGCATGACCTCATGCTCCATCAATGCGCTGCCATGAGCTACGGCGCGGGAGGAGAGGGCTCCTGCACGGGCTGCTCCCTGGGGATGCCTTCGCCCCGCACTCCTCCGCAGGATCTTGGCACATCCAGCAGCCTCGTCCCAAGGATCCCCCGCGCACAGAGCTCCCTGTGTTGAGCAGCAGGAGCTGCTGCCTCCTGCAGCACCGCGTGCCAGTGGATGTGTGCACCCCAGCACCCTTGCACACGCCACTCTGCCAGGGGAGTTTCTGGGGTGGGACACTGCAGGAGAAAGAGTGAGCGGCGTAAAATTCCCTGCATATCTTCCCAGGGCTGGGACGGGAGGGGTCCCGGTGCTGGATGTATACTTGATTTATTCTGAGGGAGCAGATTCTCTTTCATCCCCTCCCAGGAATAATTCCTCAGGTGGCGGGTGTCGCCGGCCAGCCCCTGGCCCAGCAGCAAGGCACGCCACGCCGCTCACATTTTCCAGTGCTGCAAAAAGTTTTGGATGCTCCTACTTTTTGGGAAGTTTCAGGGCTGGTGGAGGAGCGGGTCAGCATCTCCATCCTCCCCACACACAGACCTCTCGGGTCAAGGACGGAGCTGTCCCGGGTTGGACAGCCAGGAACCAAGGCAACGAAGCTCAGGCACCGCTTTTGGAAATGTTTGCTTATGTGAGCCCACAGGCTGGCCGGAAGGCAAAAATAACATCCTCCGAAAACCGGCGGGGCTGGGGGGGGTCAGGTCAGGGCTGCCTGGGGAGGGCCGAGCGGGCGCCCTCCTGCGCATGGGCTTCGCTCCCCTGCTCCCTGCTCACCCCCGTCCCTTTGGGGTCACCTTTTGGGGCCAACCTTTGGGGTCAGCCGTTTTGGATCACCCTTTTGGAGTCACCCTTTTGGGATCACCCTTTTGGGGTCCCCCACCCCACTGTAACCCTTAGGGGTCACCCTTTTGGGGTCACCCACCCCACGGTGACCCAGAGGGAGCTGCCTCTCCCCACGCCTCCCGGTGCCGTGCCGTGCCGGCCGCTCCCAGGGAAGCTGTTTACCCGCTTATCTCAGCCCCAAAGCACGGCACGGCCCAGCTCGGCTCGGCTTGGCAGCCAGCAGCGAGCCGCGGCCCCGAGCTCGTCCCACCCGGCCCCTGCGCTCCTGCGGGGGCTGCGCGCACCCCCGGCACCCCCGGCACTCACCGGCCACCACCAGCAGCAGCGAGAGCCCCAGCCCCAAGAGGAGCAGCGCTCGCCACCGCCTTGCTGGCTCCATGCTCCGTGCCGAGCCGTGCCGAGCCGAGCTGCTGCGCTCCTGCTCCGCTCCGCCGCGGGGCTCGGGGCGGGGAGTGGCTCGGGGTGGCCCCGCACGGCTCGGCACGGCTCGGTTCGGTCTCACGTGCTCCGCCGCCCGCCCCCGGGGTGGGACCGGCCCGGCACGGCACGGCCCCTCCGAGCCCTGCCGCCGCTGCCCACAGGGCCGGCTTCAAAGCTGGAGGTGGTTAATTAGTAAGCAGGAAGCGAGGCGCTAATGAGCGCGCTTGGGGTGTGCGCGCCGGGGAGGTGGGGGCGCGCTGATGGGGCAGGGGGGGCGCGCGTAGGGTGTGTGGGGGGCACACTTGGCACAGGGTGCACGCTCAGGGTGCATGGGGTGCACACTCAGAGTGCACAGGGAGCACTCTCTGCACACAGGCTGCCTGCTCAGGCTCCATTTTCTCTCCCTGGGTGGGCTTCTCTCTGGGTGCGCTCCCCCAGGGCACGTTGGAGCTCCGGGCGCACCCCACAGCACCACGCACAATCAGCCCGAGGAGCCCACTTTCCTCCTGAGCAGCCTGCAGCCACGCTGGGGATAGCCCCAGAGCACAGTACCACACGTCTGTTGGCTCAGCCATGAACAAGACCCTCTTTGAGCGTTGTCCAGCCCGCAGCCCAGGGGAGGCCGTGCTGGAGAAGCCCAGCCGTGCTCTCCGGAGCTGGTGCCACGTGGGGAGCTCTGCCCTGGAAGGCAGAAACTGTGGGGCTCAAGCACGCTCAGGCTGAATTCATATTCAGCAGCAAACACTTCTGAAGAGGGTACAGGAAACCACACAGTAAAAATATGCAGGATCATTTGCCTCCGCACTGGAAATCTACTCCTACCCCCCTAACCATGAAGTTGACCTTATCTCCTCTTGCAAAACCCTCTGCTTTAGCATTAACTGATCTGCTGCAGATAGCCCTGCTGCTGCCCACCCTTACATGTTGACTCTTCCCGAGTCTTGCTCCATTTCTGGCTCTGGCAACACGGCAAGCTCAGCCGGCAGCGAGCTCAGCAGCCCGGACACGTGCCGTGCCCTTTGATCAGCCGTTCCACCTCGTTTTCCATCCCCGCTCCATCCCCATCCCTTGGACACAGCGGTGCCCGTGCCTCCTGTGAGGTTGTGAGGTGCAGCCAAGCTCTGCCCCACGCACAGGGAGCTCACCCACCCTCCTAAATAAACCCCTTGAACGTCTCCCCGGAGCACCGGGGCGTGAGGGAGGCAGGCAGCACGCACGTCTCTCACGGCCAAGCTCGGCGGTGGAATTTCCATCAGTTATCGATGGAAACGCCAGCGAGCGCTTCACCGTGACGAAAGGAAAAACAGCAGCTGGAAAGGAGAGAGCGGACAAGACACAGGGCTTGCTTTCGAATAACCCTTCAGCCTCAGGGTAATTACTGCTATTGTGTTCAGTGGAAAACAAGGTCGGGAGGGGAGCACGGGGCAAGATTCCCAGGCCCGGACGCAGGCAACTGGGCCAAGGGGGTTTGTTTTGCCTTCTGAGGGGTGACCGTCTGGATATGTCCCAGAAGGAGCTGCAGAAAAACCAGCAGCCTTTCTAAAAATGGAAAGCGGAATGTTTTCCTCCTGGCCCCTGGGGCATAAATGCCGCTGTCCCTACTGACACGCATGGGAAAGGATATTAAAAACAGAGACGGGGGAGGCAGCCGGAGCTCTGCTCCCCGCTGTCCTGGTAGCACCAGGGGCTCCTCCAAGGGGATGGAGGGATCCCAGAGAGGGCAGGGGGGCACCTGGGGCTGGAAAGGTGCCGTGCTGGAAGATGCTGGCTGTCGAAGGAGAGAGAAGCAACCTGTGAAGCCCAGGGAAGCGGCGGGGAGCAGAGAGAGTCCCCCATGTGCTCACCACGCCCCAGCTGCGCACAGCCGCCAAGTTTTCGCAAGGGATGGCTCTACTTGAAAGAGTTTGGTAGGTCGAAGGTCAGGCGTAATTTCACTGCCTTCTGCAGGGACTATTTAGGCCTTGTTATAGCAGGATTTACCACTGGGCTTGGTTTCTTCTGCGTGGAGACCTTCCAAGCCGAGCAGCGCTGTAACTCTTTCTGAGCCGCGCAGATAGCCAGTGCCCTGCGCCCCAGCAGCTGCGTGCTTCTGTGGTGCAATCCTCTTTATTTCCAAACTCAGCCAAAGTTGTTTCCCCTTGACAATCCCGGCTTTCCCCTTGCTCAAGCTCCCAGCCAGCTCCCAGGCCATAAACCCCTCGGGTTTCGGCTGAGGGCTGATACATTTGCAGGGGTGGCACTGTTATCGCCAAGGTTTCACCGCCACCCCGGGCACAGGCATTCCCCTCTGACCCACGGGACCTTTCCCCCCCATCAGAGACCCTCCCCGTGTGGGTCTTCGTGTGGGTGGACACCCTATTGTTTCAGCAATCCCTCCATAAAGCAGTTGAATGGTTTAGGTTTATCTGGGAAGCAGGGCAGCGTTCCCCCCGGGAGGGATTCCTGATGTGGTTTTCCTCCCTCACCCCAGCACCGAGCTCAGCCCTTTCCTAGAGCAGCTCCGCGCAAAGTTGTGGCTCAGGCCACAGCACGGGTCCTGGGAAGCTTTCCTGCCCCGGGGGATGAAGCCTCTGCCCCTCCGAGCAGCAGGGACAAGCAATCTGCAGCGCCGTCTCGGGGGATTAAGCCCCAGCCCTAATCCTAATCCTGCTAACCGGGATAACCCGGCGCTCGCTGCCAGCACCTCGAGCCTCCCGCAGCCCCGTCTGCCCCGACGTCGTCAGCGCCCGTCTGGGTGCCAGCTCATGGTTTCCGATGGCTGCCGAGGACATCCACAGCCAGGCCAATCCCGACTTCTGGCTCGCCTCCTCTGTTTATTTTCTAGAAGAAGAAAAGCTTTCCAAATCCTCTGCCCTTTCCACGAAAAGGTCAGCGGTTTCTGTAAAGCGGGCTTTACAAGGATGGTAACGCTGAGGTACCGGGAATTTCAGGGCTCTCTGAAGAAACCTAGACACTGAACGTCCTCGGGGCATGGAGAGCTCTTCACGAGTTCCCTTCGGGGTATGAAAAACCTTGTGAGTTAAAAGGAAGGAGGCAAAGGGCAGCACCCCCCTCAGCTCTGCTCAGCTCCCACCGCTGATCGTGTCAGGGCTCAGATGAGATCCCAGCCAGTTTAACTCTGCTCTAACCTCCATAAACAAGATTAGACCCAGATTAGAGCCAGCATGCCTGTGTAAGGTGCTTACAATAAGCACCTTTATATAACCCCTTCTCCGAATTCGAGTGCTTTGCAGTCCTCCAGGATTTAGGCACACTGCGTCCGACAGAGCCTTCATCTCCGGATGGGAAACCGACGGCTGGAGGAGCTGGGGGCGAGGACAGGCTCAATTTTTTCCCCCATCCCAGAGGCACATCCCAGCCCTGCGTGCCTGCTCCATGCCCGAGGGGCAGAGGCACCGAGGCCGTGCTGAGCCGCCGGAGCTGTGCCGCAACGCGCGATCGAAACCGCGCATCGACCGGCGGCGTGGGTGACCCCGATGCTGGGGGCAGTCAGGCCGAGCTGTTTGCTCTTCCCCTGGAGCCCCCACCGAGCCCTGACACGAAACGCTAAATCGCCTGCCCGATAAGATTATCGTCCCCGTGATAACCGGGGTTTTTGTGGCATGGGACAACCCCGCCTGCCCCCTCCGTGCTCCAAGCCGGCGGCTGGGTGCACGCGCTCCCAGCACACGCCTCCTCAGGGCCTTCCTCCCTTTCCTAGCAGCTTCCAGCCTGGCCCAGCTGCTAATGCCGTATGAATATGTACCGGCCGTAATGAGGCCTAATGAGCCCTAACGAGCTTTGAACCCGTCCTACCGGCTGGTTGAGCCGGGCGCTGCTCATCAGGGCACGCTCCCCGCTCCCAGCCGTGAGCGGGCCTGGGCCTGGTTCCTTCCTGCAGCTGCCTTTGATCTCCTATCTCAGAGCGTAATTAGGAGGTGGGGGCTCTGCCTCGCCCCCTGCCCTGCCTCCCACTCGCTCTGAACCCCCCCTGGAGCCGGGCAGGGTGAGATTTGCCACTGCTCCGGGCTTTTTCCACGGCTGTGGCAGCAGGAGAGTGCGGATCCCTGCCTCACACCCCAAACACAGGGCCTGCAGCCCAAATTGGCCCTCAGAGGCCACCCCGAGCCACCTGTGTCCCCGTGCCAGGGCGGGACGGTGGCTCCTGGAGGAGCTCTGTGCCGGTGGGGAGCTCCTGAGGCCTGGCTTTGTGGGCTGCAGCCTCCGGGGCCGCAGCAGAAAGCGCCCCGGGAGCCTGGCACCGAGGTCTGCGCCCAGCAGAGCCGGCTTGGCTGCTCCGTTCCTCCTCTCCCACAGCTCCTCCTCTTTTCAGAAGGAAACGAAAACAAACTCTGGGCCAGAAGTGGCTTTCCTGGAGGACACAAGTGTGAGCACCGACACAGGGCTGCTGCTTGGTCCTGGCGTCCAAACCCCTTGTGGAGGATGCCCACAGCCAGCCCTGGGCTCAGCACGTACCCGAGGCACAGCCCAGCAGGCACCTCCCTACAGTTTTGGGTAGCAAACACACGTTTTTTAGCACTGACAGCCTCCTTAGGAGGAAGGAGAGTGTCCTGTGAGGCAGGGGTGCACACCCACCCCCTGGCTGCTTCTAAAAGCCCCTCTGGAGCACATTTCCTAGAGCTCAGCTTTGTCCCAGAGCCTCGTAAAGCCTCCCAGGCAGCGAGGCGTTTCCCCCTTCCTGCCCAGAGCTTTGCCCTGATGTGTTTTTAAGACACGCAGCCTGTTAGTCATGCCCCACGCACCCTCTGCAACCATCCCTCCTTCTCCCTGGGAACTGCCACCGCACCACTGACCTCGGCCAGCCTCCAACGGGGCATTTACGGGGGCTCAGGGAGCGCTGACACCCGTGGAGGTGGCAGCTGTGACACGGGGCAGTGCTCCAGCAGGGCACGGCTGCTCCACGCGTGTCCCATGCCATTGCCTCAGCCCCTGCAGGCAGCAGAGCTGTCTTGCCTGGTCTTGCAGCTGCCTGCCAGCCCCTGCACAAACACGGCCCTGGCGAAGCAGCCGCCCTCGCCTCTCACCCACCCTGCGCTTTGCTGGGCTCCAAGATCAGCCCCGATTGCTTTGGGAGGTTGGTTTTCTCCCAAAGAAATCTCCCGTCTCACCTCCTGTTTCCTTTCTTCTGCTTCTATTCTTTTTCTTTTTTTTTTTCTTTTTTTTTCTTTTTTTTTCTTTTTTTCTTTTTTTTCCCATTCTCAGCTCCATCTTCTAATTTGTTCCCTGTTTTCTCACTCCTTCCCCCCACTCCTGTCTCAATCCCCTCCTTTTTGCTTTTCCACGCATCCTTTTTAACGCTTTTTCTCTTCTCCAACATCCTCTTCTGCTTTCCCGTCTCCCAGCCTAACCCTCCTGCGCTGCTCCCTCTGCACAACAGCACAAACAGACCAGCAGTCGGCAAAATGCAACCCCCAAAATGCAACCAGCAGCTGCCCGCAGGCCACATCCCTGGCGCACAGCACAGCAAAAATTCCCCTTGCTGCATCCCACGGCCCTGAACCCACAAAGCCCTGTCCCGAGGAAAGCCACACAGCATCATCTCCTGGGGGATAAACCATAAGCCAGACAGGGCCGGTGTTTTAGGCTGGAAAAGCCTTGGGGGTTGTTGGTAACTGCGGCCAGCGCCTTGCTCTCCACCTCACCTGGCAGATTTGTACCTGCCCCAGGCAGGATGCTGAGCGGGGAGGGAGGAGGCCACCCATTCCCTGCAGCACAGCACCCTCTAGCCTCCGCTGGGGCCGCAGCTCCTTGCTGGTCCCAGGGAGCACCTCCAGCACCAGCGCTCGCCCAGGCAGCCTCCTGTGTGTCCCCACACATCCAGCCCTGCCGGCCCGAGCAGCAGTGATGCAGAGGATTTCAGGGGAATTTGGTGGAAGATTTGGCTCCCCGCTGCCTCCAAACCCCCAACCCCTTCCTCCCTTGCTCCCCACCACTCCCACCTCCCCCCCATGCCCCCTTCCTTTCTACACCTCCACAAAACAAAGCTCCGGCTCTTTGCGCCCCAACACCACCCCCCTTTCCCCCAAAACACAACTGCAGCCTTGCTCTTTGCCCCCACCCTCCTCCAAACGCAGGCTGTGCTCCCCACCTCCCAGCCCAGCCCAGCCCCAGCCCCACTATTTTGGCACGAGGCCGTGCTTCCACCTCCGCTTTATTTATTTATTTATTTATTTATTTATGTATTTATGTATTTATTTATTTATTTCCATAAATACTGCTCGCTAGGAAGAGGCTCTCGCCCACCCCTCAAGCAGTACAGAAGTGCAGGTTTTTGTTGGGTACCGACAGTCCCACCGCTCAGTTCACGGAGCAGTTTGCAGGGCTGCAAACTCATTCAGCACTACTTCTATCGCAGCTTCTGCAGGGAAAGTATTTCACAAGCAGGCACTGAAAAAAAAAAAAAAAAAAAAAAAAAAGCATGGCTTTAGCAGTCTCCCTGGCTGGCTTCCTGAGGCTGGATAATCATAGCCCTTCCAAACTCCAGCCTCAGGAACACGGCATGATGGCAAATGTCAGACAGACCACTCGGAGTTCAGTGGGAGACAAACAGCTTCCTTTCTTCGCTGTGACATCTTGGGAATGCTCCAGGAGCAGCTCATGCGTCTCCCTGGCTGTGCTGTGCTCATTTCTTCCCTCCTGCTCTCCTCCAGCAGCTCCTTTCCCAGCTCGATCTGCCTGCCCACTACCTGCTGCTCAGGCGCTGCCTCCCCTGCGCACTGACACTCCTCTTCGTGCCTGCAGCTGTGCCTCAGTTTGCCAAAATTTGTGGCAAAGGGGCAGAAACGGCTCCCAGCAAACAAAAAGCGGGATCGCAGGTGGCTCCTGTTGGGAACTGCTCTGCTCAGCCTGGCAGCCTTTGGCACATTGATGGGGATTTCACCTCGCCAGGCTCCCTGGGCAATTCGGGAGTGTTGTGGCACGGATTCAGCTGAGGGAGATACTGAAGGAGCCTTCCCCTGCAGGGCTGGGGCTGCCTGGGGAAGCAGGCAATGTCTGAGTGCCACAGAGCACCCAGAAGCAGGAGGCAGACCCCGTACTCCCCCAACACCCAGGAACTTGATTCCCAAAGCCTCTTCCCCCAGCCAGCAGCTGTGGGGTAAAAGCAGTGAGCTGGCTGTCAGGAATTTGTGGACAGAACCGGCTGAGCACAGCCTGGTAAAACACTCAGCTCAGTGGCATTTCTCTTGGCCTAAAGAATCTGGGAATGCAGCAGCCTATCTGCTCTGAAATGCTCAGTCCCTGTGATAGCAGGCACAGCCCTCTTGGTTTGGCAGAAAACCAGAAAAAAAAGAGTCGGAAAGTCGCCTTCAGCCACAGGAAGGGACCAGGCACCTCTGCTCTACAGGGGATGAAGGGGTGGACAGCAGGAGCCCGGTAAGGCAGAGGTTAGTCACCAAGTTCTATAATTAGGAAATAAATAGCGTGCTAAATAAACCCAGAGCAGAAGCTTTTGAGGAGGGCGACAGAGCTGGAAGTTGGCAATGAGCAACCGAATGAGAATGTGATGGAAAAATACTGAGCAGGTGGGCCACGTGCCACCTCCACGGCTGGCTTGCATGATGCAGCCCTTCTCCCATCGCTGGCATTTGTCTCTTTACGTTGTCAGCTCCTCAGGACAGAAGGCCAGTCTATTTAGAGATCAGCAAAGTGCCCATTACGCTTTTAGACACCATTTTCAGAAAACACATAAGAATCCAAAGAGCACTGTGCATCCAGCTCCGACAGGCTCTCAAGCAGCTGAGTGCTGCCGCCGCCGAGCCAGTACCTCGCAGGCGCTGCAGGGAAGGCAGAGAGGAAAAATCATTGCCTTTATTTCCATCTGTAAAGCTTTTCAGTGCTCACATGCCCCTGACAGGCACTTTGCTTACTTTCAGCTGGCAATCAAACCCTGTCATAAGAGATGTTTTCTCTTTTGCTCCTGCTGCACTGGTGGAGATCAACACCCCGATGTTTCCTCCAGCAGAAAGGTTTCCTAAGAGGTGCAAAGTCCCTGGGTGTCCTTCAGCGTGCCGGTGCACGGTGAGTTTGCTGACCAGGAGAAAAGCTGGGCCAACGGAAATGAAGCAGAAAAAGAGCCGGTTCCTTATGGCAGCAGCAGCCAAAAGAGAGAGGGATGCGAAGAATAAAACGTCACTGTCACCAAGGCGTTGCACTGTCACCAAGGTGTTGCACGGCACGGCTCAGCCTGGCCTTGCACTGTGCCAAGTTCTCTCAGCCTGCTGCCTTCCCAATTGCTGGGTTTTTAGACGTAAAATTATGGTCAGTTTTTCCTCGGCCTTGCTGTACAGAGCTAAGCACCTGCCCAATGCACTAGGCAAAGCTCTGCTCTTCCCATGCCTACGGTTCCCAGCACATACATCTGGCTTCCTTTGCAGTACCCACACTAATCAGAGGAATCCTCCTGTCTCCGAAGCATTAGGATGTTGCTGGACACCCTCATCCCATTCCAGGGCAGGAACATCACACAAGCACCTGCTGGGCTGGAGCTGCCAAACAGCCCCCTATGAGGCAGGCAGGCTGGAAATGGAGCTCAGCTCTTCCCAGCACCTTGCCTTTACGGGATGGGATGGTTCAGGCATTTCCCCAGCGTGAGCTGTGTGCTGCGAGCGACACAGGCTCCTGGCTGCGGGCCACATCCTGCACACGCTGCTCCCACAGCAGCCAGCAGCACCGTGCCGAGCATCGCGGGAGCAGCCCTGTACAAAAGGCCGCCCTATGTTTTACTTCTCCTTCTCAGCAAGTGGGCAGATAAGAGTTTGCTTTGCTGGGCTTTGTGGCGGTGTGCTGAAGAAAGCTCCCTGCTAATAGCCAGGCCAGAGAAATCCCCAACAGCCTCAAGGCGCGAGGGTAAAAGCCTTGCCTGGGGGCTCAGCACCACTTCACCACCTATTTCCCTGCAGCTGCCTGGCCCACGGTGAGCAGACAAGGTATAACTAGAATTAATCAGACTGCAATTGCGTGTAATCAAACCCAAACATTCTTCAAATACTTGGTTAAGAGGCTGATACAGGAAGTTTATCTAATAACACTATCTTGCAGCTTGATCACAGGCATAGCTCGGCAGACCTCAGCCCAGCCAGGTTCACGCCGTGTTTAATTATCGTGTTTAATTATCACCGCACACTTTGGGCATTTTTACGAGGTTCTTTAAAAGCTGAAGATAAGGAGCTCGGCTCCTGCTTGACCTCAAGGTGCAGGATTGCTCCTGCAGCAGGGAGAGGAGGCCCTGAGGCGCTGCTGCTGTTCCTCTCCCACCTTTTTTCGGCTCAGCAGTCCCCGTGCTGCCCTTCCCCACACTCCCTCCTTGGCGGTGACTCAGTGCACGGCAGTTACTCATCCCTCCAGATACACAGCGCTCTGGAAAATGTGACTTGCGCCCTGAAAGCTTTCTCGACGTAGGAAGCTCCAACTGCCGGTAAACAGAGGAGACAAGAGGACTGAAATCAGGGAAAGGATTTTTCCACCCGGTTACATAAAGTGACCAAACGCAGAGCGAGGAACAGCTGATGCTACTATGACTGCAACGCGCTGCCCTTTTGGGACACGCTGAGAGGAGCAAGTTGATAAACAGCGCATTGCAGACATTTTTTTCGTTATTATTTGTTTTCCTTTTGTGCCTGACCCCGCAGGCTGGGTTTTGGATGGGAGGATTTTGCTGTCGCCCGTCCCGCGGGAGGCAGCCAGACGGCTCCCCTGTGTCTCTGAGGGACCGGGAGCCCTCCTCGCCCCTCAGGGACATGTTGGGCACCCTGAGGTGAGCCCCTGGCCACGCACCGGCCTGGGGAAGCCGCAGCCACCAGTTTGGAAGCCCAACACGGAGCGCATCACTGCACAGCCACCTGAATGGAGGCTGTGGGAAGCTGGGGCTGGGCGCTTCTCACAGATAACTCATGACAGGGCTGAGGGAATGGCCTCAGGTTGTGCCAGGGGAGGTTGAGGCTGGAAATGAGGAGACATTTCTGTCAGAAAGAGCAGCCAGGCGTTGGGACGGGTTGCCCAGGGAGGTGGCGGCACCGTCCCTGGGGGTGTTGAAGGAGAGGTTGGACGTGGTGCTTGGGGACACGGCTTGGTGGTGACACTGGTGGTGGTGGGCAGTTGGCCCAGGTGCCCTTGGAGGTCTCCACTGCCTCCAGCCCCAGCCCGGCCCCGCTCTGTCATGGCGGCGGCTCCCCACAGCCCCCCACATCCCCATCCCTCCCGCGGCCGCCCATCACGGCCTGACTGACAGCCCTCCCCACCAATGAACCCGCAGGTCACCGCCCCTCCTCTCCCCAACCGCCCAATGGCAAGCGAGCGGCTGCAGCTCCCGCCCCCTCCCCTCCGCCTCCACCAATGGGCGCGCGAGCAGCGGGGCGGCGCCGCCAATGGGAGGACGAGGGCGGTTGCAAAGGGGCCGCGGGCAGCGGGGCGGCCGCAGACGGGCGGGAGCGGTGGCGGCGGCCGGGCAGGGGCCTGCAGGTGAGGGGGCGGTGGCAGGGCCGCGGCGGGGGCCGGGCTCCGTGAGGGGGCCTGAGGGGGCTCCTCCGGCCCCGTCCCTCGCGGGTTGGGTCCCGGGAGGGGTTTAAAGGCCCGCTGGGCCTGGGTGGGGGGAGGCTTGGCGGCGCTGCGGGGTGTAATAAGCGGAGATTTGCTCCTGGGGGCTGCCCTGGTGTTTTTAGGGGCTGTGTGAGCGGTGGGGTTGCCCCCGGGGGGGTCCCGTCCCTCAGGGGGGCCCCCTCCAGAGCCATCCATCAGCTCCCTCCTGCCCTTCCTTCGCGCTTGTCCCAGCTCTGGTAAGTTCCAAAGGTCCCCGCCTGCCCCTGGCAGGTTGCTGGTGGCTTCCACATCACCGCTGCGTCCTCGTGTCGTTAATGCTCGTGGGCTGTTGGTCAGCTGGCTGGCACGGTGGGGTCGCGGTGGTTTACAGGCCCTGTTTATCAGCGGTTATCGCCTCGAGCCACGTCCGTGATGCTGCTGGGGTTGGCATGTTCCAGCCCGCTGATAGCGCCTTCCTAGAAGGCAGCGTTGGGCTGTTGGCGTTCCTAATGTCTGGGTTCCACACCTTCTTCCATAACGCTCGTTTCCTGTGCTGGAGTGGGGAGTTTCGGGACTGGCATCATCTTTGTGCCATCGGTCTCCACTTCAGCTCCTTCACCAGATGCTCGTTTAGGTCTCGTGTCACCAGAGCAGCTTGAGTAAGTTGTTGCCTCTTTGCCTCTTCTTGTGTCAGTGGGCACACGGCCTTCCTTAGAGCAAGGACAAGAAGGATATTAAAGAACTGAGAGGTAATATTTGGGTTCTTCTGTCTTACTCTTAAAAACAATCATTTTTCAGCTCTTGCATTGGCAGGTCTTCAGTGTTCCTGAGTGAATTAGCTGAACAGGGCACGAGGCTGACCTCGGATTCTGTCTTTTCTAGGGGTGCAGTCTCTTCCCTCTCTGACCTCCAGAGAGCCATGGAGGTTGGGGTTAACGCTTTCCACCTCACAAAACTGCTTCTGAAGAAGTTAAGCTAAAAACCAATTTGTTCTGCTCCTCTTGTAAAAGCTAGATTTTCTCTTCAGCGAATAAATAGCAGCTTAAGCTTCCAGCGTTTCATAAAGCTGCGTTATTAAACTTGTCATGTGAAAACCCAGAGATTAACGTGGTGAAATGGTCACTGTTCTGGGCTGTGGTGGAGAGAAGGAAAGATGGCAAAACAGCATCATTTGTCCTTGACAGGCACATGGGGAGGTTAGCCAAGCACAAAGTTTCAGCTGCATTTATAGGCGTCTTTTGATGTACCATCGCAAATGGTGGCTGTAGAGCAGCGATTCAACCCTTCTGCAGTCTGACCTCACCTGATAATGGAAATGTTTTTGGTGCTGCTGGATTCACCTTGTCCTGTTAGTCTTCTTTCTTGTTCTGTCTCCTATCTCTTCATCCTTCGTGCGCCAGGGCTGGCAGCGCTGGAACTTGGATTAAGTTAAAAACCAACAGGATTTAGCGAAGTCTGTAATAGGGGGTTGCATGCTGAGGTCTTTAGTGTCTATTTCCAGCTGAAGGGTGCTGACACTACCTAGACCAGCAGATCTTATTTACTCAGGGTTTGTGAAGCACGTCAAACGCCACACAAGCCACAGTGTGTGGTGATGAGATGGGTGCAGAAGGGAGCTGCATTAAAAACCGATAAAATTGGCAAGTACAAACCAGATCCATAGCTTAGCTGGCATTATTGAAAGTTCTGGCTTCTCGTGCCTTCTTGTGATTGTGTTGTGAGTTGGCAATTTAATATTTAATGATACACTTCACCTCTCTGATCCTTGTTTGCAACATGTCTAGACTAATGCTGCCATTAGTGGATTAGAAATGGCCAAGTGCTCGGTCGTCTACCCCACCACGGAAAAAGCAAGCTGGCTTTTCTGCTTCTTGGGAATGGCTCCTGGTGCTCTGAAGCTGCTGGTGTGGACTTCCCAGCAAAGGCCTAAATCTCCAAAGTTTTGCTGGTATGTTGGAGTCGGCATCTGTATTTGCTGAGTCCTCTGGAGGGTCTTGTTTTGTGGTGTGTCAGAGTACAGCTCTGAGCAGCTCTCTGTGGTGTGTGCTATAGATCAACTGCTGCTATATATGGCAAACGAACTTCTCTACAAATATTTGCCCTTCATCCTAAATGGCTCTTGAAGATTAAGCTTATAAGCAGTTCAGATAACAAACTGATAAAACTCACCTGACTGTTCAGACATTAAATTTAAACTCGATTGACTTTGGTACCAAGCAGTTTACTTCATTTCAGTGTGCAAGGGCAGTCTGACCTTATGGAGAAGACAGTCCTGCCTGCCCAACGTACCTGTTGTCTGGTAATGCTGCTGACCTAGCCAGGCAGACATCTCAGCTCTAGGAAGCCTTGTGTGCCCTGAGGCTTGTCTTTTCTGCAGCTCTATCAGTTGACTTGATAATAAAACATAATTGTGTCTGGCTGCCAGCTTTGCTCATCCAACACTGGGCAGCAATAATCAAAACTCCTCTGTAAAGCAATTTTGTACAAACCAAGAGCTTGAAACATCTTTGTGCCTGTGCTCTCTTAGAGGTAAGGGCAGTGGAGGAAGCATCGTACTTCACAGCATGCAGATGTCTTCATCTGCATCTCTGGATTCACCAGGAAGTGCAGCTGCCTGGCTCTGGGAACTTGCTTTACTGTTGAGAAATACTCTGTAAAACTTATTTACATCTTCCAAAGATGCCTTTGCATCAGGATGCAGGTTCCAGAAAGATAACACTGAGGGCATTCAAATCTGGCCGTCCCTTAACTGGAACACCCTGTTCTGCACAGTGTGGGCCGGGCATGTGTCAGTGTGGAAGGTTTGTACCAGAGAGAGCAGATGCACAAAGCGAATGTCCTTGTAAGAGGTAGAGAGAAATCCCGAAGAAGTGTGGCTGTAATCTCCCTAAATTCCCATTCGTGCTCAGAAGGACGGAGGGCAGTCAAGCTCTCCAAGGTGTGAGTTGCTGGTGACTGCTCTAGTGCACCAAAACCTGCTTGCTTTAATCAGCATCCTGCTAAAAGCTGCGTTATTTTTCAGTATGGGTAAGTGTGTGTTGGTCAGGTCCTGCCTCCTGGTATTCAGTTCTTTTACCCCGAAGCTTTGTTGTTTAATTTTTGAACGCAATGATGGGAATCAGCCTTCTGCCTGTTGTGGGCAGCCTCAGCGTGAATGACTCTGCAAATCTGTGCAGCCGTGGAGCAGAGCTGCTCGGCTGGGGGGGAAACAAGCAGGCTGACTGAGGGCTTGGGAGCGAAGCGGCAGCTCAGCTCTGGTTATGCTCAGGTAGAGGTGTTTGCTGACTGCTGAACTCGGGGTTAGACCAGCTCGAGCACTGCTGGCTGGCTCGACTCGTGCTTTGCTGATGGATGGCGTTCCCTGCTGCGCAGCTCGAGTGGCGTGGAGCAGGCTGTGCTTGTGCAGCTGGGCTCCCTGCAGCTGGGATGTGCGTGGACTTCGGGCTGCTCTTCCAGCTCTGACAGTGCAGGGACAGAGGGAACGAGTCCGAGGACAG